ATGGGTCCCAGGCTCTTTCCCTTCCCAACCCCCATTTTTCCTTTTCTCGGTACTTTTTTGAAATTCAAACTAATCTTTCTTTGTCAAAAACATTGCCAGCCCCTCTAATCCTCTTGGAAGGCCTCTTAATTTGGGGCTTCAATCCCGCCCAGGATGGTTCCAAGGAGCCACCAGGTTTATTCCTAGGACTGGCGTGAGCGTGAGAAGAGTGGAGAGTGAAGGAGGCTGGATTTGAAAACACGTCTTCTCAAACGTTCACCCCTCTCCCCACTGCCATTCAATCGCATCTCATCGTCCTCTTCCTCGGTGGTTGCTTTTTATGCCAAATCTCAAGTGGGCGGAGCGCGGGGACCCGGAACCAGGATGCCTCGGGACGCCCCCGCAGCGGGTGGGCGAGAGCTGCGGTCGGGGCCGTGGCGTTAACGGGTTTCTGTATGGTCTGCTTCCCGTCCTGTGCATTCTCTCTGGAGTGTTGTTTTTGCAGTGCAGGGTGAGTCGGTGTGGGTGTTTGAATGCTGCCGTTTGCTGTTTTTTAAAGGCCTACTAGCCCTCCCATGGGGTTACTGCAGCAGGAATTCTTACCTGTGCTTCAGCCCAGCATACAGACTGCTGACAGGTACCAAGTGGAAAACACCTGCTCATATAGTGTGCTGTTTTGTCAACATGTTTTACTGCCCATGGTCTTCAGCTCTTTGTTCCTCAGTGCTCTTTTCCATGCTTTCTTTATTTTTTAATTTGTTCTGCATTCCTTGGCAAACCATCTGGTTGTAATATTGTAACATTTCTTATTTTTTTGCCATAAGTTGCCAGTGTTTTTTGTGTTCGGTTTAAAAATCATTATGGAACTGGAAAAACCTGAAAGTTATATAAAACTGTGTCAGATTCAGTGCACATTAGGCACTGAACTCTTCTTTTGAGAAAATGTAAGGCATTCCGTTATAAACATTGGAGGATGCTAAAGCTTATGTTAAGTAAATGCTTACTCTTAAATTTTTATACGAGTGACCAGTGTTAAGATTTCGGTCTCAACAGGCATTAGCACAGTATTTGCCTGTCACCGACACTGGTTTTTCAGACCTTGTCTTTCTGAATTGAAAATATTGGATAGGCTAGAATGTCACGGTCATTAGCTGACCTATCCTGTTATTAAACCACAAAGCTAATTCTCTCCATCTAAATTTATCGGAGGGACACATGACTGAGTTGTGCTGCTCTGTATATATGTGAAACCATATATGAGCCATGATCAGCAGGATACAGTCGATTATATTTTTACTAGTATTAAGAAGAGGGTTTGCTTTGCACCACCAATGCCCATGATTGTTTGCAAATACCAGTAACTTCTGATTGGGCAGAGTTGGCTCCAGTTTGGAGTTGTAGGCTGGCTCCCAGAAATGCAGCCTCTCCGGACAGCCTAAGGCCTGTGTCTGTTCCCAGTGGGACTCGTGGCCTCGGCCTCACTGACACTGTGTCCTAATTGCCACATGAGCCAGGCAGACACGACTGGAAAAGTCCACAAGAACTGCTGTTTTACCACAAAGTTCCCAGCATTGCAGCCTGCCCAGTAATGTCACCACTGGCCTGGCAAGGCTGGGTGTCTTTCCTTCTTTGCACTGCAACTTTATGACTTCACTGTACTTATTTTACATGCTAGTACAAGTTTTAAAAACAATCATTTTAGAGTGGTTTCAATACTGTTATTTTGACCAACACATAAATATCTAACTTATTACATATGCTGCTAAAGCGAGCACATAAAAATCTAAGTTTAGTCCCTGTTACTGTGTGAGAGAAGCGAGGCAGTAGGGGGAGGGGAATGGAGGTGGCTTCTATTTGTCTAAACACACCCAATGACTGCACTGGTGTTAAAACTCCTCTCCTTTTCATTGAACCCGTTGAGTTTTGCTAGATGTTTCTCTCCTTCACGTTGGTGTCTTTCCTGGGATTTCCTGTGTGGTTTCCCTCCCTGAAGCAGCGGTCCCCAACCTTCCGGGCCTCACGGACCCCGGGTTGGCGACCGCTGCTCTGAGGCACACCCTGGAGAACGTAGCTGGAGATCTTTCCTGGTGCTCCCACAGCCCTCCCCCCACTGCAGGCCTGTGCACGTGGACTGGACCCCGTCTGCAGGTGGCTTTTGCTGGCCTTTGACGAGTGCTCAGTGACTGTGCCGCTCCCTCCCGCCTGTGCCAGACTCTCCCTCGTCTTGGGAGCCAGCAGACCTGGCAGCAGGGGACAGAGACGTGCATGTGACCGGTGGCTGCACAGTCCCTGAGCCCTTCACGGAGCCCCGCCCACGGGGCCAGGTGCCTACGCTGCTGGTTGGCACTCATTTTGGTTTCCCTCCTCCCTGCTGCTGCCTCTGCAGTGTGGACTGGACCCAGTCAGCCCACAGTAACTGGTTGTGCACATGTCAGCGTAGGGATGCATGATGTCCAAGCTACAGGAGTTCACGAGCGAAGCAGGTGGCATTTTACCGAACATTTAGATCTTTAAAATCTTCTTTTCTTGAATGGGAAAGGTGTCTCTCTAGTTTTAAGTCTTTGAGGAGGAATGGGCAGAGGGGGCGGTTTGGTTAGGGCTTTCCTTTCTTTTTAAAATGTCTTATACTTAGATCTGAGGTAGGCTTCCCTCCTACCCCAGAGGCCCTGCCCTCGGAACCAGCGCTCAGCACAGTGTCCTCTGTTTCCCTGTCGCCGCCCTCAGGCACCACACGGTCACGCGGGGCATCACCAAGGGCGTGAAGGAGGACTTCCGCCTGGCCATGGAGCGCCAGGTGTCCCGCTGCGGGGAGAACCTGATGGTGGTGCTGCACAGGTTCTGCATCAACGAGAAGATCCTGCTGCTGCAGACCCTGGCCTGACGGAGCCCTCTCCGCCAGAGACGCAGGAATCCGGGGGAGACGCCAGGCCTTGACAAATGCCGCTTTACCCCTCTGAAAACAAAGAGATCCATCTAAGTTCTGACTCCCGGTTACCTAAAAATGGTTCCCGAAAGCCTGAGAAGCCACTTCTATTTTTTAAAAGTCTTTTTTTTTTTTTTTTTTTGTAATTTTTGTAAAACAAAAGAATCTGTTTTGTAAATAAAAAAAATCATCCCACATTTGGAGGTTTTAGAAATTCATTGTGGTGTTCTTTACTTTAAAACATTACTCCTTTACTCAGCCACAGTGGCTGAGTGCCGACCTGTGAACCAGGGGTTCATAGTTGGACTCATGGTCAGGCAGGGCCCCTGCCCGGATTGCAGGCTCTGTCCCCTGGCGGGGGCATGCAGGGAGCGGCCGACCAATGATTCTCTCTCAACGGTGTTTTTATCTCTCCCTCTCTTTTTCTATGAAAAAACATACATTATTCCTTATATGATCTCAAGATTTTATTTTCCACATTTAGGCCGTGGTTAAAAAATCATATCAACACTTCTAGACCTTTTCATTCTGGAAATATTAATACCAAAAACCTGTAGCCAAAATGAACCTGTGAATTTCCGCTGAAGGAGCCATGGGGTCGGGGGTGCAGTGTCTGCCAAACTGCCCAGGAAAGGGAATGGTGGAGGGGGCGCCTCCTCCCCACTCAGGCCACGGGCTGGCCCGCTGGTGTCTGCCCAGGCACTTGGCCAACTGGCTTCCAGCCCTGGCTCTGCAGCCCTGCACTTGCCATCTCCCAGGGACAAGTTTGTTTCTCTGCCCCAGGCTTGTTGGAGGAACTCAGATGGCGACGCTTCCCTCAGGTGGTTGTAAACACTAAGTGTGACTACATGTGAAATGCTTAGAAGAGGGCCTTACACATTGTAATTGTTAGTCAGTGTTAGCTTATCAGGCGTACATTTTTCCTCTGGTCTTCCAGAAATATGTCAGTAAACAGCAAACAAACATTTGTTTCTAGAGGCTCTTTGAGAATGAAATAGCTTAAGAAATTATTCAGCTACTTTGCATAAGAAATTTTAGAAATCTTTTCTAAATGAGTCCCTTTTTTATTGCTATATTAAAATCAATAAATGGGGTTTTTTAAATCTCAGAAATTGTTTACTCTAGCTCATTTTTAAAATATGATTTGTTTTTTGCAGAGAGGAAGGAAGAGAGAGCGAGCCAGAAACATCAATGAGAGAAACATCAATCAGCTGCCTCCTGCACACCCCCCACCGGGGATGTGCCCACAGCCAAGGTACATGCCCTTAACCGAAATTGAACCTGGGACTCCTGAGTCCACAGGCGGAGATCCTATTCACAGCCATACTAGTCAGGGCTCCTCTAGCTCATTTTAAAGTGTTTGTCACCTTAATATGAGTTGATAAATATATAAACCTGTTGATTTTATCATGGAGTGTCCCCCAATAGCTTTCAAATTAAACAGTCTCTTACTGCCCTAGCTGGTGTGGCTCAGTGGATAAGAGTGTTGGCCTGTGAGCTGAAGGGTCCCGGGTTCGATTCTGGTCAAGGGCACACGCCTGGGTTGCAGGCTCGATCCCCAGCAGGGACGTGCAGGAGGCAGCCATCCAGTCAATGATTCTATCTCATCACTGATGTTTCTATCGCTCCCCCTCTCCCTTCCTCTCTGAAATCAATAAAAATATTTTGAAAAATAAATTAATTTTTAAAAAACCACTCTCTTACCTTTTGGTTTTATAACACCTTCCTCATATTGGTGTTCGAAGGCAGCATGCAGCAAAACAAGGCATTCCAATACCCAAATGGTTCGGCTCCAGGTAACAGTCATCTTCACTTATTTAGTGGTGCCACTCCTGTGTGCCAGCCTGCAGGAGAGGTGGAAGGTGTGGCCACAGATAGGATAAGATGGAAGAACAAGCAGCTAGCCATGCAAGCTGGGAAAGTCAGGGAAAAAACTGGTTTCTGTAGAGCAAGTCCTAGTAGTCAGGAAAGGATGCCACCAGAACCCAGCATGGCAGCAGACACTGGGAGCCCTGTACTCGCGCTGCAGGGAGCAAGGCCGGCTCTCCTTACAGCCGGAGTTCGGATGGAATTCTGCAAAGGAACACAGCGTGATGACGGCATCTCATCTTACTGTTTTGACATGCACCATTAGATAAGGAGTTTATCAGGTCTGAGGCAGTTAATGACATAATACAAGTGCCTACCAGTCTTATCAACTTTGAATTTGGAAATGCATGTAGCCTGAAGAAAAACAGTATTTTGGAACCAAAGCCCAACAAATACTGATTACCAAGAGAAAAATGTTGGCTGGCTACACTGGGTGAAGAGATTATACACACAACTAAAAGCAAACATTGGTTATGTGTATTCTTTCTAATTTTATCCCTTTTGCCCGCACAAAGGAGGTAATGGTCCTCCACACAGCCACGGGCATGGTCTAAGCCGTTCCCGTCACTGCTGGTTTTCTAAGTCGCATGAAGCCCTTGTAGCCAGTGAGCCCTGAGGGGAAGGCTGCCGGAGGCTTGGGGTGGGTCTTCTGGCGAATGCACTTGAGGCACAGACGGGAGGTCCTCTCCTCCCAGAGCGCGTCCCATTTGAGTGTGTGTCCCATTTCCCAGTAAGCGGCCGTCACGTGGTCCTCCCACAGCCCTGCCGCGAGCCGACTGAGCCAAGCAGAGGGGCGTGCTCCTCCTGACTTCTCATGTGAGATAAACTTCCCTTCCAGCCCAGCTGAGTCAGGATTTCCTGTTCCTTAAGGTGCAGGACATCCTAACGGACAGACTCCCCAATTTAAAGCAAGCTGGAGAATTTGTCTGGAGAGGCCCAACCCAGCTTCACATGCTGGGGCTTGGGATGACAGCTGTGACCACCCATCACGAGTCACTGCAAGAAGGTAGCAGCAAGTGCCCTCAAAGGGGACTGTCCCCACACACCTCAGTTCCACCAACATTTTCATGAGGTGTGCCAGACACTAATTTTATCAGCACTTCAATATTAAAGACAAAAACAGCCAGCATTGCTTTGCTTTAATAAATATTTATTTAGTGCCTGCTATGTACGAGGCGCTGTGTTGGTGCCAAGGAGATGCAGATGGACAAAGCATAATGAGCTCACCGTCTAGCATGGGAAACTAGACATGTAACCAGGAACTATCATCAAGTGACTGATGCCAGGAGATTGGTCCCCATAAGATATTATGAGAACCCAGGCGAATAAAATATTACTTTTGGATGAGAATACAAGTTTGGAGAGGTGTCTTACAAGTAGGGAGTCTAAAGTGACAGGTCATGGGTGGACCTTGGGAATAGTATGCTAAGTGAAATAAGTCAGGCAGAAAAAGCTGAGAACCATGTGATTTCACTCATACGGGGGCTACAAAATGGACACTCATGAACACAAACAGCGGTGTGGTGGTCGCCAGAGGAAGGGGGTGGGGGCTTAAGGGTCCTAGTATATGATTACAGAAGATGATTGGACTTTGGGTGGTGGGCACACAGTACCATATATACATCTTGTAACATACAAACCCACACCTGAAACCCATCCTATATAATCCTATATAATAAAAGGCCAAGAGGAGTCACGACCGAAATGACCAAGTGAAAGGTCACAATAAGGGGACCCATGCCATGATCAGGGGCATGGCCGCCCTTCAAAGTGCAGGTGGCTCCTCACGCAGGCCCGCCAGTGCCCCAAAGGGGACCCGAGTCTCAGGCTCCCCACCCTCGTGAGCCTGCATCTGGTCTCACCAGCGGCTGCTGCTCCCCTCAGCCATCATCCCACGGGCACAGGAGAGGAGAGGAGGAGGAAGCTGCCGGTGTGAATGAGATCAGAATCAGATTGCCCTGCTAAAAGCCACACACTCCCACCAAACATCAGTCCTATAGATGTTTAAGCTCTCCCAGTGTACCTCCATGCCCTGCCTCTGCCTCTGCAGATAGGACCCCGCCCCTGACATGGCTTCCTCCAAGTAGCCATCATCTTGGGAAGGTCAATGCCTGGCTGACTGGCCAGGCCTCAGACAGTAGACGCCCCGCAGACGCCATGACAAAGAGGTCATGGAGGGTCAAGACACTGCCTCTGGTTGAAGCAGGTGCTGTGGGAGCAAAGTGACCAAAAGAAATAGTTATGTCCAACAGCCATCTAACGCCACACATGATGTGTGAATTAGTCATTGCTAGAGCCGAATTCAGTACTGATGTGCCCCATTTTAAGCAGACCCCCCCCAAATAGACTTACCATGTTGATAATCCACTTTACTACAGAAAGAATGTACAAAGATTCTTGAAATAAGCAAAATATTTTGCACCTCATAGTGCAAAACGTTTAAACATCATTAAAAATAGCCTCTATGAGTAACGAGAGTTGATATTAACAAAATCTAATAGCCCCAATTCAAAATGCCATTCAGAAATGCATCTACTATGTAAAATCAAAGTATGGGATCCAGGGATTGGAAAAAGCAACTTTACTCCATTCTACCTACTCATCGCCTCAGACTTACACTTTGCACAAAAGTCTCAATAAAGAGATGGAGCAGAAGGAGAAGTAATGCCTCATGGCTGAAATTTACCTGGTTCTTGATATTTATAAAAGTTGTGTTAACTTTGTGCCTGTATTACAGAAACACAATACAGCGCTGTCCCCATCTTAAAAAGGACTTCAAGTCTCTGAGAATTCCCGGTAAGGTGAACCAGTAAACAGCCAAAGCAGGATCAGATTCCAGTACAATTCTTATCATAAAAATTACTGAGTAAAAAACTGTCCTCACTCTCCCTCTAGAACAAGAATTAAAAGGAGCCAAAACCGGTTTGGCTCAATGGATAGAGCGTCAGCCTGCGGACTGAAAGGTCCCAGGTTCGATTCCGGTCAAGGGCACGTACCGAGGTTGCGGGCACATCCCCGGTAGGGGGTGTGCAAGAGGCAGCTGATCAATGATTCTCTCTCATCGATGTTTCTAACTCTCTATCCCTCTTCCTTCATCTCTGTAAAAAATCAATAAAATATATTAAAAAAAAAAAAAGAATTAAAAGGAGCAAATAAATATAATGAATGAACCCGAACCCTCAGGGACTAACACAGGTTCTGTGAGGCCTAAAGTATACTGAACCAGAAAGACTAATTTTTTTTTTTTGGGGGGGGGGGGGGATGGGGATTTTTAAATAAGGTTCAAAAATGACCTTATTTGGAATAGGAAAATAAATTACAAATAATTGTAGGCTTGGGAAATCTGCCCCTTTCTCTTTTAAATCATTTCAGGCAGCAGGCTATCCAAAATGCTGCTGGAAGCAACTTGCTCGCTCTCTCCCCCAGAACAGATCCAGCCCTCTCAGCGGCTCTGAAGCTTCCTTAGTTTTACCATAAAAATAAAAACAAAATAACATTTCAACAACACTCCTTTCTGGACAAAACTCTTTCTTTTAAATTTTTTTAATTTTACCAAAGTAGTAAATACATAGTTCATAATGTATCTTTTCCCCCCTCCAATAGGTGTGTAGTGTAGTGGTACAGCATTGTTGTTTTTATCCTATTGTTGACACTATTATAGATGTCTCCCATTTCCTCCCTTTACCCTCCTTTACCCATCCCCCCACCTCTGGCCATCACCACACTTTTGTCTATGTCCATCCCCCTCCCCTCTGACCTCTATCAGTCCCTTCCATCCTATATAATAAAAGGCTAATATGCAAATCGACCAAACGGTAGAACCATTGATCACCAGGGGCAGATGCTCAATGCAGGAGCTGCCCCCTGGTGGTCAGTGCGCTCCCGCCTCTGTAGCAGCGCTAAGGATGTCTGCCTGCAGGCTTAGGGAGCGGGCCTAAGCCGGCAGTCAGGCCTCCCCACAGGCTCCTGGACTGCAGGAGGGCACAGGCTGGACCCCCCACGAGCGCACGAATTCCGTGCTCCTGGCCTCCAGTATGATCATATTAACCAGTGTCTCCTGTGGAGCGCGGCTGCAGCGTTCAGGCAGGATCAAGCCTCAGATTGACTTGTGGCAAAGCCACCAACAAGTCCCAGCTTGGAGGGCAAAGCCCTCCCAGCACAACTATAGTCAAAAGACTACGGTTGTAAGCTTGACCTTAGCGTCCGACCCCGCAGTCCTAGGTAGCTGAGGGGTGTGGGCTGCGGGGGGCGCAGCAAGTGCTGCCAGAACAAGGCTTGACAGAGTCCAGAGAATGGCAACAGCAGGAAAGCAGATTTGAAATTTGCAAGAACACTGTAAACATCTTGCCCTTGTTTTGCTTTGTGTGATTTGACTATGAAATAAAGACTCAGCTTACAGGCTGTGTCACTGTGTCCTCATCCAGGCACAGCGATCCACCTGGTCCCAACTGTATTCTCTCCATCATTTTCTTTAGTCCTTCACTGCCCCTCCTCAGGTGCAGTCACCTCAATAAATTTAATTTTTAAAAAATGTAGATAGGAGAAAAGTAAGAGGAAAAAGTAATCCAGGAAGACTATGTTCAAAGTCAGAAGCAGGAGGTCCTGGCTAAGTGAGGGAGGCGGGAGGGGGTCTGTTGGGGTCGGAATAAGTAGGGTGGGCACAGGGGGGTAGGGACAGGAAGCTGGAAAGAGGTTTTGGGCTCAACTGAGAATAGTTATGTCCGCCCGGCAAAGTTGTATCAAGGTCAATGGAAGCTTTTATAAGGAGGTGATGTGCTCTGAGCCCAGCTTCAATCAGCCTAATCCAGTGACAATGGGTGTGACTCTCTGGGACGAAGGACTAGGGGAAGGAGGCCAGGATAAAAAGAAGTAGAGTCTAGACGAGAATCATAGGTGGAGACAATGAGCGGGAAGAAGGCACAGGGGGAGATGGAGACAGAATGGGGAAGACCTGGCGATGGACTCAATATGGAAGAAGCAGGGGTCATGGAGGGTGGGTGGAAGACGGCCACGGTTTTATACCTAGAGATGAGATCCACTCACAGAGCTGGGAGAGTACCAAGAGGAGAAGGTTTGAACTTGGGACAAGAAAGGAGGGAAGTGGTGAGCCCGGATGCTGGCGGACATCCAGGGGAGGGACCTGCAGGCAGTCCCGAGTTCGGGGCAGGGGTCGGAGCTGGAGCACAGACTAGGCAGTTGTCCGTGCAGTGGCGACAGCAGAAGCAACGCTGAGCGGGCCCCGCCTTGCCACGGAAGGATGCTCTGGAGTACAAGCTGTGGTCCCGTTTCCCTTAAACGTGGAATTCTCAGAAAATTCCCAAGTATGATGATGCACCACAGGAACGATGCTGTTTCTCTCCGTGTGCCCTCCCCCCCTCGCTCCCGAGAAACAACTTCCGCAGCTGTAATTCCAAGCAGGAAAGGTGCCTCCATTGTGGAGGGTCATTCCGAAAAGACAGACTCCAACGAGAGTCTTCTAAACTTGTCATTGTCCCTTATTTTGAAGAGTTTTCGGTAGTAAAATTATTTTTCTAAGGATTTCAGAAAAGCTGTTGATGGACCCCACCTCACTGAGGACCTGGGAGGCCATCGCTATCTCCCTCGTTTCACAGATGAGGTACCTGAGACTCAGACAGGAGAACGTCAGCATCGTCCCCACGCGTGTGGAAATATACACCCTATCGGTTTTATCATCGGCGGTTCCCTTTAATCAAAGCTGGGTCCACGCTCCCGCCCGGCCCGCCAGAGTCCCCCAGCAACACGCGTCCGGGGGAGCGGTCAGATTTTCCAGAAAACCTTCTTTCTGTAGAGCACGTAGGCGATGAGCACCCAGAGCGCGGTGGCGACGAGGTTCTGGACGAGGTGCTCCTTGTGCGACTGGCTGTCCTGCAGCCGCCACTGGAAGGGGAAGTAGTTCTTGAACACCTCGTGGCCCACGTACACCAGGATGGAGTTCATTCCTGGAGCAGAGAGACGGTCGTTCGTGTTTTCCTTCCACTCATCTATTTAACTCCCTTTTTAAAAAATACTTGTATTGATTTCAGAGAGGAAGGGGGACAGTGCTAGAAACGTCAATGATGAGAGAGAATCTTTGATAGACTGCTTCCTGCACGCCCCGTCTATAGGGGATCAGGCCCGCAACGTGGGCGTGTGCCCTGACCAGGAATCGAACTAATGCCTCCTGGTTCAGAGGTCGGTGCTCCAGCACTGAGCCACGCCAGCCAGGCTTGTCTACTTAATGCTTGAAATATGATTTTAGTTCAGTGGAAAAAAACAAACAAACGCATGCTCTGACATTACTGGCTACTGTCAAAAACAAGTGGTGCATATCTTAACTCAAGTGTAAATTATATTAAAAATTATTAGAAAGTCTTCCTTTCGTAACAGCGGAATTCTTGAATATTAAATCTGAAAGGAAAGCAAAATTTTAACTCAGATTTCCTCACAGAAAACTGGAGGTCCACCGATACTGGTTTGGCTCAGTGGATAGAGTGTCGGTCTGCGGATTGAAAGGTCCCGGGTTCGATTCCGGTCAAGGGCATGTACCTTGGTTGCGGGCACATCCCCAGTAGGGGGTATGTAAGAGGCAGGTGGTCAATGTTTCTCTCTCATCGATGTTTCTAGCTCTCTATCCCTCTCTCTTTCTCTCTGTAAAAAATCAATAATATATATATATATTTTTTAAAAAATAAGAAAACTGGAAGACCAAAGAAAGCAACTATGATTAGAACCAGAAGGAGGCAATGAGTCACTGAAGGTACTGGGCCTCTCGGTCTCCAGGCAGAACTGCACTATAACCATCCTGCTTATCTCTTGGTGTCATCTCTTAACATTTCTTCTATATCGTCTGTAAGGCGGTGCACTTACAGTAGGAAAGAAAGAATGCCTCATCTCTAAAGCATTGGATTGGGATGATAGGCCCCAAATTGTGGCTGGGGACAAACCAACTAGATCTAAGTAGGTAGACTGGACAGGCCAGGGCTGTCCTGGGTGGCCTGGGCCTGTGTGGCCCCTGCCGCTTCCTCTCTGAGCCTGCAGTTTGGGGACGTACCACCGGCTGGGGCTCGAGGTCCCCTGAGGGCACACTCTGCTGGTCTCTGGGCCAGTCCAGCTGGTCACTGCAGCAACTCTGTCTGGGTCGGGGGGACTTACCTGGGTAGTGGAACGGGGATCCTGTCCACAGTCCCTTCACATCCACGATGGGGTACAGGACGAGCAGGATGAAGAAGGCAAAGGAGCTCAGCGTGGTGACGTATGAAATGGACCTGGGAGGAGGGGGGTGGGTGTCTCGGGGCTCCTGAGAGCACACCAACGCGAGCGGCTCCGGGCAGCACGCTGGCGTGGCTGTTTTCTGTACCTACCAGAGGTTCTTGTTCACCGGAACAAAGCCCTCGTTTTCAGAAACCTTCGTCAAAACGACAGAGATCAGCCCCTGAAACGAGGGAGAAGGATGTTAAAGGCTTTTTTTCTATTACCTCACAAAACAATTAATGTTTCAAAACTGGAGAATAGTATGTATGTCATTGCTTAGGGAGGGCTGAAATTGTGTCATATCGTATTCTTTTAACTGGAAAAAATATTTTTAAGATGCGTAACTAAAAACGTTCTCTAAAAATACTTTTTCAGCATTCCTCTGAGAGAATGCTACCTGTTGCGATGTGGTGACAGTTGCTAAACATTTTTTAACTGAAATACGTACGCGTGAAGGAAAGGACTGTTAGGAAGGACCGTCGATACTCACTAGAAAACAACACCAGGCCGTGAATCTGATCAGGATGTCCTTGGTCTGATCTTTGTAATACAGGAGTATTTTTCCTGCCTGGAAAAGAAGACACAGTCTGTCCAAGAGAACTGCCGGAAGGTACATTCTAATCTCACATCCCTCCATTCTCTCACCACTCCCCTGAGCCCGCAGCCAGGCACACGGCTGGGCGCGGGGAGTACCCAGAGGAAAGGCATGTGACCCCCCGCCCTTGCCTCGTGGAGACTGAGGGGCACAGGGGCCACCTGAGGGAGGAAGACATTACAGAGGAAGTGCCACAGCGTTCAGGCTACAAGTGCAAAGCGGGAAGGGCATTCGGGCCCACTGGAACAGCAAGCCCAGAGCAGGTGAGAATGGGTGAAAACGCCCACCAGCCCTCAGTGCCGCAGGTAATTCAGAATGGCTGGGCGGTGGGCCGGGCGCGAAGGGCAGGCAGGTGGACCTGTGGCCTGTGGGTCTCACTGGCAGGCAGGCCTTCTCCCACAGGTCTGCCAGATGGCCCGATCTGCCCTGGAGGAGGCACAGGGACAAAGTGGAACTGGAGGCAAGGAACACTTTAAACACAGTAAACCCTGAACTTTGCATAAAAATCCCCCCAAATTAGGAACTAATTTTGGGAAATATCCAACTATAAGAAAGTGTTACTTATAATAATAGCTAAATTTTATGAATGTTTTCAGAACTTTACATGAATTAAGTTATTTAATCCACTCAACACCTTTATGAAGTAGGTGCTATTGAAGCTCAGAGGGGTCAAATAAGGTGCCTGAGGCTACCCAGCTAGTTGCGAGGGGGCGGGGTGTAGCCCTGGTTCAAACCCAGGCAGCGGGTTTGCACTCTTCAGTCCTATGCTGCTCCAGCAGGTGCAGACTTAGCTAGAGAGCATGTGCAGGAATTAAATGAAAGCACAATGTAAACTACAAAGTGCTCTGGAGATAAAGGCAGTAATTCTGAATACAAAATTATTTAACCACCCAATTGTATATGCTTTCCAACTGCACTATTCAAAACAGAAGCCAGGAGCCAGAGGTGACTACCGAAAATTAAATTTACTTAAAATCTAATCCTGGCCAGTGTGGGTCAGTGGTTGGACATCATCCTGTGCAAGGAAAGGTTGCCGGTTCAATTCCCAGTCAGGGTATATGCCCAGGTTTCAGCTTGATCCCCAGTAGGTGGCATGCAGGAGGTAGCCAATCAATGTTTCATTCTCCAATCCATGTCTCTCTGTCTCTCTTTCTCCTTCTCACTTCCTCTCTCTCTCTCAAAAAGAAAAAGAAAAAATCCATAGAAATAGTTTTAAAAATTAAATAACATTTAAAATTCAGCCCCTTATCCCTGGCCAGGTAGCTCAGTTAGTTAGAGCGTCGTTCCAATATGCCAATGTTGCAGGTTTGATCCCTGGTTAGGGCACATATAATAATCAGCTAATGAATGCTTAAATAAGTGGAAGGACAAACCAATGTTTCTCTCTTTCTCTCTCCCCTTCCTCTCTCTAAAATCAATAAATAAAAAAATAACTTAGCCGAAACCGGTTTGGCTCAATGGATAGAGCATCGGCTTGGGGACTGAAGGGTCCCAGGTTCAATTCTGGTCAAGGGCATGTACTTTGGTTGCAGGCACATCCCCAGTAGGGGGTATGCAAGAGGCAGCTGATCGATGACTCTCTCTCATCGATGTTTCTAACTATCTCTCTCCCTTCCTCTCTGTACAAAATCAATAAAATGTTTTTTTTTTAAATTACTTAAAAGAATAAACAAACAGCCAAAACCAGTTTGACTCAGTGGATAGAGCATCCGTGTGCAGAATGAGAGGTCCCAGGTTCGATTCCTGTCAAGGGCATGTGCCTTGGTTTCGGGCACATCCCCAGTAGGAGGGGTGCAGGAGGCAGCTGATCGATGATTCTCTCCCATTGATATTTCTAATTCTCTACCTCTTCCCCTTTCTCTCTGTAAAAGAAAAAATCAGCCAAAACTGGTTTGGCTCAATGGATAGAGCGTCGGCTTAGGGACTGAAAGGTCCCGGGTTCGATTCCGGTCAAGGGCATGTACCTTGGTTGCGGGCACATCCCCAGTGGGGGGTGTGCAAGAGGCAGCTGATCGATGACTCTCTCTCGTCGATGTTTCTAACTCTCTATCTCTCTCCCTTCCTCTCTGTACAAAATCAATAAAATATATTTTAAAAAAACTAAAAAAAAATCAATAAAATATACATTTTTAAAAAATGTTTAGACCTGGAACACACAGAAGAGGATATGTTCCAATGACTTTAATGAAACAGTTTTTTCATTAGTAACGAACCAATAATCCCAAACTGTCAGAAAAAAATGTTTCCTGATAAAATGGACGCGTACCTGAACTCCCAAAAATGCCATCACGATGGAGTTGATGGTGCCCAGGATGCCCTCGGGGTCGTAGGCCGTCGTGGTGTGATAAAGCACCTGAACAAAACAGAACAAGAGGCAGCACTCGCTCCCTGGCCACGAAAATGCACACGACCCATAGACTAGATATAAGCTTCCATGCACTCCGATATTTAATGTGCTTCATTTTTACTGCAGAAATGCACGGCCAACTTGCAGGGATTGTAAGAATAATACCTCCGGCCGAGACGGGGTGTGTGACTGACACTTCAGAGGGGACCCTGAGACCAAGGGCCAGCCGTGGGCCGGCACCGCCACCTCGACGTCGGGTGGCTCAGCGACACGACACATCCCTGACCGGTGTCAAACCATTTCCAAGTTTATTCTTTTGGGTCAATCCTGTTGTAACATCAACAGCGTCCTGTCTTCTTTTAAGACAAGTAACATTGAACACATCTACCTGTTATTTTATTATAAAATAAGTTGTTGCCGAAACAGGTCTGGCTCAGTGGATAGAGCGTCAGCCTGCGGACTGAGAGGTCCCGGGTTCGATTCCAGTCAAGGGCATGTACCTTGGTTGCGAGCACATCCCCGGTGGGGGGTGTGTAAGAGGCAGCTGATCGATGATTCTCTCTCATCCATGTTTCTAACTCTCTATCCCTCTCTCTTCCTCTCTATAAAAATTCAATAAAATATATTTAAAAATAATAATAAAATAAGCTGTTGTAGGAATTACAGAAATTTGGAAATACCCAGCGTAGCAGGTGCTGTAGGGTGCCACCCAGATTCCCCCTCCCGTACCCTGCAGGGCTAAAGCCTTCCCGCCTTGCTGCTGGAAGTGGCAGTGGCCCATAGCTCTCAGCCAAGTGCCTCTCCGGATCCGTCCCTGACTGAACAGAGCTGCCTCTCCGGAGTCAGACCCCCTTGCTGGGGGAAGTGCACATCCCACCAGGGGACTAGGGCCAGATCCCTCCCCTCAATCCAGGACACCTGAGTGCTACCCCAGTCCACCCCGCTCACCATGAAATCAGCTGAGGCCTCCATGGGACCGGGATGCATTGCCACTGCTCCCTCGGCCCTTCATTCCCCAGCAAGCCTGGGTCCCACGGGACTGCCTGCTAAACTTCCAGTCCCAGAGTGAACCTGTCTCAGAGTTTGCTGCCAGGAAACCCTACCTGCGACCAACCTACAGAAAAGCACTAGGCTTCGCGTCTGACACAATGTAGACTCACTTTGAAATCCAAAGTCATGTCCCCCTACTGCCCCATCATGAACACTTAAGTCCCCGAATTCAGTCACCTTTTCAAATAAAAATCAGTCCCTGTCCTAGTTTATGGAATGGTCACAACTGCCAAAACCAGTTTGGCTCAGTGGATAGAACGTCAGCCTGCGGACTGAAAGGTCCCGGGTTCAATTCTGGTCAAGGGCATGTACCTTGGTTGCAGACACATCCTCAATGGGGGGTGTGCAAGAGGCAGCTGATCGATGATTCTCTCTCATCGATGTTTCTAACTCTCTATCCCTCTCTCTCTTCGTACAAAATCAATAAAATATATTAAAAAAAGAAATGGACACACTGAAAGCTGGCCCACCCTTTCTGCCTTCCCTCCCTCCTGAGCTCCTGGTGTCCGTTCCCAGTGCAAGCCCGTGCCACTCACAGTTGAGGAAGGATGCTGATAAATGTGATCGTATCCCAGGAGCAAGCGGTCAATGTAGCCAGCAGCTCCTCCGGTGCAATTCGGGTACGCCCCCAGGTCTCCGATACCACCAGGCCCGAGGTAGCCTCTGGGGAGGGAGAACACGTTACCGGACAAGACTCCAGAGGGATAAGAGTGCAACTGGCTGTGCATGCAGCCCACCAAAGAGCCAGGAACCCCTCTGGCGCCAGGCCCTCTGACCAATGCTCTTTTTTTTTTTTTTATGTCTTTATTGATTAAGGTATTACATATGTGTCCTTATCCCTCCATTAACCCCCCAAACAACCCCCACCCCCACTCATGCCCTCACCCTCCTGGCGTCTGTGTCCATTGGTTAGGCTTATATTCACGCATACAAGTCCTTTGGTTGATCTCTCCTCCTTTCCCCCGCCCTCCCCTGTCTTCCTCCTGAGGTTTGGCAGGCTGATGCTGACCAATGCTCTTTCGACTAGACTGCTCCCATGTTAGGCTCCAAAACCTCCATTCAAACTGACGCTGAAAAAACCCCCTGGGGACACTCCTGTGGACACACACCACGCTCTTCTCCCAACATAAAGCGGCCTCCATGGAGAAGAGAGAGTGGAAGGGATTCCCTGGACTCTGGGAATCTAAAAGCAGAGCCCCAGAGGTCTGAGAAGGCAGAGAATGACGAGCACAGAGGGATTCCCTACACGGGGTCACTTACGTGGGGCATCCGGGAACAGGTAAGAAGAAGGTCAGAGCCAGCCAGACGCTCTCCAGCACCAGGATGACAAGCCACTGGGGCCAGCTGGACGTGATGTCCTGAAGAGAAGGGCACCTTCTCTCCTGGGGGAGGCCATAAAACACACAAGCTGAATGCAAGGAGAGCGAACAGGAAGTAGCACGCAAGCATGTATATCTGGGACATTCCCTCTGATTCTTCTCCTGGCCTTTATTGTAGCAATGCAGAAACACATGCATGTTTATCTCATATGTACTGCGTGACCTAGATGTGTCCTCTCTATGAAGAACCACAGTAAAACAATAGGTACAAAGAAATCGGTGGACAATTCCAATCCTATAAACAAAGAGAACTGAACACAGATGTTCACACAAAAACTTGTCTACAAATGTACACAGAGTCATTAAAATGCTTATTAGCCAAAAAGCGAAAACAAGTCAAATATCCATTAACTGATGAATGATACAAAAATGTGGTTCAATCTCAAAATGGAACACTAGTCACCAAGGAATCCAGGCTAATACATGCACAGCATGGATGAACCTTGAAGACATTACGCTGAGTGGAAAAAAGCCAGACATAAAAAAGCACACATATTGTATAAGTCCACTGCTCTGAAACATCCAAAACTGGCAAATCTATAGCGACAGAAAGTAGATTAGGGGTTGCCTAAGGCTAGGGGACTTGTGGGAGACTAGTAGTCAGTGTAGGGTTTTTTGGGGGACAGTGAAAATATTCTAGAACAAGATAGTGGTGATTGAATACACAACTCGGAATACCACTAAACATCACTAAATTGTATACATCAAACACGTGAGCTTTATGGTTTGTGAAATATGTCTTCCATTAGGAAGGAAGAAATAGCTGTCACCTTGGTAAACTCAGCAATTTATAGCAAGACAGAAAGTAATCACAAAAGAAGCAACTTGTAGAAACAAACAAAAAACAAACAAACAAACAAAAAAGAAGCAACCTGAATACTTCTTACAACAAAGAAACAGTCAAGGACGTACTGCCATCCTCCCACACTCCAGCTTGGCACTTCCCTCCATGCTGAACCTTTGCTGCCTTTTGTATAGATGCTGATATGTACTACAACTCAAACAAAATACAGCCCAGCTGGCGTGGCTCAGTGGCTGAGCACTGGCCTAAGAACCAGGAGGTCACAGTTTGATTCCCGGTCAGGGCACATGCCCGGGTTTCAGGCTCCATCCCCAGTGTGGGGCATGCAAGAGGCAGCAGATCAACGATTCTCTCTCATTACTGATGTTTCTATCACTCTCTCTGAAATTAATGAAATTATTTAAAAATATATATTATACATTATTATATATATATATGCCTAAGCAACTGGCTGATGGGCCGGCCAATAGCTATGATGCACACGGACCACCAGGGGGGCAGACGCTCAATGCAGGAGGGGAAACCACAGACATGGAAACATGGAACAGACTGATGAATCTCCGAGTGAAGAGAGGAGGGGAGAGGGTGGGAAGAGATTAACCAAAGATCTTATATACATACTAGAGACCCTGGCCTGCACCCTCTCTCAATCCAGGACCCCTCAGGAGATTGGGGGGGGGGGGTCACAGAGCTGGTTTTGGCCCTATCTCCGGTGCACAAATCCACAAGGAAATTAAAAGAGATTGAAATTAAAAGAGATTGAGTCAGTAATCTAGATGATGGTGATATTATTTTAATGCCAAATACCTTTTGTTACTGGACACTTAAAAATATGTTAAGAGGATAGATCTCACGTGTTTTTTTACCACAATAAAACAAAACAAAAAAAACCTGACCGATAGGTCTGGCTGGGTAGTTCAGTTGGTTAGAACGAGGTCCCAATATCAAACCAAGATTGTGGATTCAATCTCCTTTCAGAGTACATACAAGAAGCAACTAATGAATGCATAAACAAGCAGAACAACAAATCCATGTTTCTCTCTCTCTCTCTACCTTGCTCTCTCTCTCTAAAAATTAACTTTAAAATGGCTGATATAAAGACTAAATAAAGCCCTAACCAGTTTGGCTCAATGGATAGAGTGTCGGCCTGCAGACTGAAAGGTCCCAGGTTCGATTCCGGTCAAGGGCATGTACCTTGGTTGCGGGCACATCCCCAGTGGGAGGTGTACAGGAGGCAGCTGATCAATGTTTCTCTCTCATCAATGTTCCAAATTCTCTATCCCTCTCCCTTCCTCTCTGTGTTAAAAAAAAAAAAAAAAAAAAAAAAAAAATCAATAAAATATATTTTTTTATAAAGACTAAATAAAAATAATTGAAGTAAAAAAGAATATATTTGACTAACAGAATCAAAGAATCTCCTCAAGTACAGTCCTGCACTCGGAACTAAAGAAAGCTCTACAAACTACAGACATTTCCCCCCTCTTTTAAAAAACAGGGTTTCTCACCGAGACACAGCTCTCAGGCACAGGCTTGGCAAACAGGAGCTCCAGCACGGCCACCACGAAGTAGGTCACCCCAAGCCGCTGGAGCACACCGGGGATCCGCACCTTATCCCAGGACACTGCGGGGGCCCGAGGCAGGGGGAGGTTAGCCAGCATCTCTCATCTCGCCCAAGACACTCCTTTCTCCTCAGGGGGCAGGCACACCCACGTGGCACCTGCTCACGTCCTCTTTAAGCTCTCGGAGATGGAAACGCTTTGTGTGGTCAGCAGACATGCTCCGACTCACAGCAGAAAGCTGGCCCGCTGGGAGGCTGGGATAACAGAAGTGTCTGCCTCGGGCTGGGGGTGGGTGTAGGATCCACCGACAGACTCTCCCTGCCCTACAGGACACCACCGGGCTGGGTCACAGGGAGAGGGGAAACCCTATAATGAACCTATAATATATCCTGCGAGCAGTGGCCTGCCTCTGGAGACCCGCCAAGTCAACTTTTCTGTGACACCTTCCCTTGTGACCTCTACCTCCTCCCAGTGCCTAGCCTTCGTGGTTCTTGCCTGTGGGGTTCCTCTGGCTAGTATCTACCCTGTTTCCCCGAAAATAAGACAGTGTCTTATATTAATTTTTGCTCCCAAAGACGCACTAGGTCTTATTTTCAGGGCATGTCTTATTTTTTCCATGAAGAATACAGTACACATTTATTGTTAAATGAAAATAAAGGAAATTTATTACCTATATACAGTCAACACAAACCAGACAAACTATGAATCCTACAGTATCAAGAACTTACTCATTTATTCAATGACATTCATGTCATCATCTTCTGGAACATCATCATAACAATCCAATTCCTGAATTTCCTGGTGAATTTCTTGTGACTCCATTTCTTTAGAATCAGTGGACCAAATCTCTCATGTTTAGCCTGGGGGGGGGGCTATTTTCGGGGAGATGCCTTATATTTCACTCCGAAGGAAACTGTAAGTAGGTCTTATTTTCGAAGGATGTCTTATTTTCGGGGAAACATGGTAGCTATTTGTGTCCATTTCTGCCACGGCCCCATGAGGACAGTGACCAGCGCCTTCCTCGGTTCTGACACTGGGTCCCAAACAAAGAACTTACATCCTTCCTTCAGCTTTCCTATCTCGCTCACGCCCATAAGACAATGTCAAAGGTGTCATGCCTGCCTAGCAACCCAGATGGCATACAGGTGGCAGGTGACAAAGGTGAATTTTGAACCACCACATAACAGCCTTGTTATGAAAGTTACTGAAAGCAAAGTGGGAGGAGGGTAGGGTCTGAGAAACAAGGGGCCTGGTCAGGGCCCCACTTGGCCCCTCACAGCACTTGGATCATCTGGAGAAAGCACTCCCAACTCTCGTGGCAGGAGATGGGTTTAAGTGGCCCAGGTCTAAGAGACCAACAAAATAACAATAATGCCCAAAGTTATACAAGCATCATGTATTCTTTTCTAATAACTATTCTTTTTGTAGGTGCCTGCGGTGGAGAGATTACACTTCTTTCAAATTATACCGTGTAGTTTCCATATTTCAACCCGAATATATAACAACAGAGGGGGATCTACTTACATGGACCAAGGCAATAATTGGGGTTCACAATGATAATTCCTATGCAGATTAACAGGAAACTCCTCCAGGCAATTTTCCCCAGGAGTCTGAATTTTGAACATCCCCGCTGCAGTATGGAATTCATTGATAGAAAAATGGAAGACCCCATAATAAACACAAACCTAAAAACAAAGAAACAAAGAAACAAAAAAACAGCTATTACCCCATAATAAACACAAACCTAAAAACAAAGAAACAAAGAAACAAAAAAACAGCTATTACCCCATAATAAACACAAACCTAAAAACAAAGAAACAAAGAAACAAAAAAACAGCTATTACCCCATAATAAACACAAACCTAAAAACAAAGAAACAAACAAACAAAAAAACAGCTATTACCCCATAATAAACACAAACCTAAAAACAAAGAAACAAACAAACAAAAAAACAGCTATTACCCCATAATAAACACAAACCTAAAAACAAAGAAACAAACAAACAAAAAAACAGCTATTACCAGATAAAAACAGCTATTAACAGATATATATATATGTATTAACAGATATATATATATATATATTAACAGATATATATATATGTATATATGAACAAATTTTAAGGTATCAATATTTTATAATCTGTTGCATAAGAGAAGCTACACATGACTTTTTCAGAGTAGCCAATTACTGAAATGACATCGGGTTAACAGCAGAGGAGACACAGCGAGGTGGTTGGGTTTGCGTGCCCTGGAGTCCGTTCTTAGAGGAAATTCTTCAGGACTGAGTGCAATTTCCAAGAACAACTGTCCCATTTAAACAGCAGAGAAATAAGGATGGAGATGCTACAATCCCATCAGCTCAACAGTCACTAGCATGCCCTCCAGTCCTGGAGAAACAAACCACACACTCCAACCATTTCTCTCACTCCTGCTCCTGGAAGAAAAATGAAAGCTATTTTATTTCTTTTCTTTTCTGATTTTGTCTGAACCACGCATCTCTTCTCTTTCCTTTCTTCTACCATACTAAATTACCTCTTTAAACAAAATCAGAAGAGCAATTTCTCTATTCGGAGAAGGGTCACAGAGATGCATTCAGAGCAACTGCACACCTTGGTGTCTTCCGGCTTCCTTTTGGGGTCACGGAATCAGATAAAAGCCTCTAGGAGAGGACTAGGACGCAAGCCACTTTTCTGTAGGGACCCTCACAGAGAATATATGTAAATAATGAGCAGGTCGCCAAAACCGGTTTGGCTCAGTGGATGGAATGTCAGTCTGCGGACTGGAAGGTCCCAGGTTCGATTCCAGTCAAGGGCATGTGCCTTGGTTGCGGGCACATCTCCAGTGTGAGTGTGTGTGTGTGTGTGTGTGTGTGTGTGTGTGTGTGTTTGTGGGGGCGCGCGCGCACGAGCAGGAAACAGTTGGTAGATGTCTCTCTCTCATTGATGTTTTTAGCTCTCTATCCCTCTCTCTTCCTCTCTGTAAAAAAATCAATGAAATATATATATATTTTTAAAATAAAATAATAATTAGCTGGTGGGCTTGTAAAAGTTCCTACTAATCTGGCTAAAACACACACACACACACACACACACACACACACACAAACAAAAAATCTTCCCCCCAAAAGCCCTGCGTTTATAAGACAGTTTCCACCTTGTAGATGGGGTCAGGGTCCCCCAGCAAGGTTAGCACACAGAGGAGTGAAGACAGTGTTCAGAGCTCCGTGGTTATTCCAAATTTTACTTTAGAATATCATTGCCCTGTTACAGACTTACCAGAATTCCCCGATACCAATAGACAGCGCTACTTTTAGAAGTGCTTTTTATACTTATTTTCAGGACTCGTGGTAGTTGTCATTTCCTACAGGATTCTAGGGCCTCGTGCGGTACCTTGTGTCCACACTAGCCAAACGGCCCCCCTGAATCAATCATCTTTTAGAGACACAGGCCTAGGGTAAGCACTGCGCATGCGAAGTGTGAGCACTGCGCGGCACAGTTTTTGGAAGGCCCTCGTCACCGCAGAGAAGTGGCACAGGCCTGGCCCAGAATGCAAGGCTGGTCTCAAGAAAGGCTCCCACGTCAGCTGAGAAGAAACCCCGGAGAGGACCAGCGGGAGAGCTGGCGGCAGACGAACTCACCATGGGAACACGAGGTCAGCCACGGTCAGCCCTGCGGGGAAACACCAACACGGAGAGGTAAGAAAAGGGACTCACGAGTGTGAATACTTCCTAAACGGAAAAGGAAAACCTGGGGAAGGAGCACACCGGCCCTCCCCGTAATTAACGAAGACCATGAGGATGAGTGCTAGCCTGTGAAGCAAGAAGGAGCACACTGGCCCTCCCCAGGACCCTGCGACCTGGGCCTGGGCCTACAGCCTTGCCTAAGAACATGACTAGCGGGAGAACCAAACTAGAAGCTGTGGACAAGTCTGTAATCCTTACACACTGCTACTCTAAATCCATTCTCAAACCAACCGCCACGGCCAACGCACAGCCATCACTCAGCACCTCTCAGACTAACTGCAGGTCAACGGCCCCATGGAGGACAGGGGTGTCCGAAGGTATGTGCATGGCTCCACGGAAAGGCAGCTCCAGCTCACGACAGGGGTCATTTACTACGGAGCTCTTTTTCCTTCTTTCTTTTTGTTGTTAATCCTCACCCGAGTATATTTTTCTATTGATTTTTAGAGAGAATGGAAGGGAGAGGGAGAGACAGAGAAACATCAATGTGAGAGACACACACGGACTGATGGTCTCTCGCATACACTCCGACCAGGGTAGGGATCGAGCCTGCAATGGAGGTGCGTGCCTTTTTTTTTTTTTTTTTTTTTTTTTTAAATATATTTTATTGACTTTTTTTATAGAGAGGAAGGGAGAGGGATACAGAGTTAGAAACATCGATGAGAGAGAAACATCAATCAGATGCCTCCTACACATCCCTTACTGGGGATGTGCCCACAACCAAGGTACACGCCCTTGACCGGAATTGAACCTGGGACCTTTCAGTCTGCAGACCGATGCTCTATCCACTGAGCCAAACCAGTTTCGGCTACAACTGAGTTCCTAACATCTGCAGAGTCCCTCAGTCCCATAGCAGAGACCGCAGAGTCCCCGTGTTTTCACAGTGAGGCAGTGCAGAGCCACAGAGCACAAAGGACAGAAGGACAAAATAACCTAAGGATCATTCTTTGGGGGCAGGAGCCTGCTGGGGCCTCATCTCCAGCTCCTGAGGGACGCTGTGTGGCTCTCCTGCCCACAGTTCTCTGACCGGGTCCCACTGAAGCGACGCTACCTTTAGGAAATAACTTACCATTCCAACTTGCATGTTTGAAGTACCAGTATTTCCCTCCTCCGTAATTAACGAAGACCATGAGGATGAGTGCTAGCCTGTGAAGCAAGAAGGAGCACCGTGAGGGCTGGCACATGTGACACAGGACGGCCGATGGTCAGAGTCACACTCACAAACACAAGGTGCAGTCATGACACAAGAGGGCATGTAGCGAGTGAGGAATGGTTGCTTCTCACCACCACAGTCAGGACCCTCCACCAAGGTCCCTCCGTTGCCAACATTTCTAACTTAATAAAGTCTGCGTGATTTTTACAATATATTTTTATTGATTTCACAGAGGAAGGGAGGAGGAGGAGATAGAAACATCAATGATGAGAGAGGATCATCGAGCTGACTCCTGCACGCCCCCTACTGGGGATTGAACCTACAAACCAAGCAAATGCCCTTGTCTGGAATCGAACCTGCAACCCTTCAGTCCGCAGGCCTCTCTATTCACTGAGCCGAGCTGGGTAAGACATAAATGAAGTCTTAAGAAAAATTTACACTGATAGTAAACTGTGTAACCTGAAAGCAAAGCAAAAGATTCAATGCTAATTATTCAGGTGTCTAAAGTTCACAGTCACTAGAGCCAGACTTGAAGGTTCAAATCTTAGGTGCTTCTCTCTTCTGAGTCAAAAGACCCTGGGCAAGACTCTCACAGGCACCTCCATGTGCTTCTCTGAAAGAGGGAACCTACCCCACACAGGAAACGCTGGGACTCTTACAATGTTCACAACAGCACCTAACCAGTGCTGGGCAATTTTCGGCACTTAGTAAATGTTAGCTCCTGTCTACCTAAGAACGTTTTATCTTCAAAAGTGGCAATGAGAATCAAAAAGAAAAATTAATATAACAACACTGATTCTGGATATGCTATTGTTTGAAGCGAATTCTGTGGAATGCAGGCAACAGGGACTTTAGTATGCTAATGTGATCATTTATGGGGACCCTGGAGCTCAACTGCTCAGGATCAAATCCTGGCTGTCCCACCCCAGCCGGTTTGGCTCAGTGGATAGTGTGTCAGCCTGGGGACTGAAGGGTCCCAGGTTCGATTCTGGTCAAGGGCATACACCTTGGTGGCAGACACATCCCCAATGGGGGGTGTATAGGAGGCAGCTGATCTGATACTTCTCTCTCATCGATGTTTCTAACTCTCTAACCCTCTCCCTTCCTCTCTGTAAAAAAATCAATAAAAAAATATTTTAAAAACACACACACACACACACACACACACAAATCCTGGCTGTCTCAATCTTTCTGAGTGACCTTGGGCAAGTTATTTAATCCTCAATCTCTTCATCTGTGAAACAGGCATCTTAAACATATATACCTCATAGAGTTGTAAAAAAGGTAAGTAAATTAAGACATTTTAGAACAGTCTTAGCACGTGGTGAGAACTCAAAACTGCTAGCAATTGCTACTATTACCATCATTTTCGTTATTATTGCCTGGCTTCACATATGCACACCGGGAGCTCTGCTGACGCTGGGACAGGATTCCAAGGTTATCACTGGAGTGAGAGACCCTGGTGAGTAGAAATGGAAGACCCGATACCTAGATATTTGTTTTCAGCTCTACACTTTTACACTTTATTTTCGGAGTTTCGTCCTGGCGTTCATTCTTTTATCAGAACTATAAAACAACTAGAGGCTGGATGCACAAAATTTGTGCAAGAGTAGGCCTGCGCAGCCATGGCTGTCTAGACCCTTCCCTCGAAGCCGCAGTGGCCCCGGCTTAGGCTTTTGTCTGGGAGGTTGTCCAGAAGGACATGTGGTCTAACTAACATATTATGCTTTTATTATTATAGATAATCATTTACTATACGATGCTGTGGGTTTGTTATAAAAAGGCCTGGTATTCTAGTTGTTTTGCTAGTGGTGGTGAAGGCTGAGAACAACTCTTTGGGGTGATGGTGTTTCGTTTCTAAACTAATGCGTCTTCTCATCTGTCAAGTGACTGACCGGGCATGGGGGTGCATGTGGATGTGGAGACCCCCGCGTACAGCTAGTTGCCTAAATGCAAATCACCTTAACTCAGCAGAAGCTACACACCAGGGGCAACTGGCTCTGGTCTTGCCCCACTGCTCCTCACCAGCGCACAGTACACTGACTACCAAAGCTTCCCAGAAAGGAGAGGATGCTGCTTTTCTTGCTTTTTTTTTATTAATCTTCACCTGACGAGATTTTTCCATTGACTTTTGGAGAGAGTGGAACGGAGAGGGAGAGACAGAGAGAAACGTCGATGTGAGAGAGACCCATCAGCTAGTTGCCTCCTGCACACACCCTGACCAGGGCCGGGGAATCTGTGACTAAGGTACATGCCCTTGACTGGAATTGAACCCGGGACCCTTTAGTCCACAGGTTGACACTCTATCCACTGAGCCAAACCAGCCAGGGCTGTTGCTTTTCTTTTACAGCTAGAAATCCTTTCTAGCCTAGAAAGTAAAAGAAATATGAAATACGTTAGCATAAAAGTGTGTTTATGTGAAAACATGTAGCCTGAGGCTGCCTGTGCCCACGGGGGAGCCACGTACCCCCTGAACGTGTCCACACAGCGGAGGCGCGGAGGCACCACGGACGGACGCCACACTTGCGGTTGGGCATCGTCACCGAACAGGCCTGCCCTGCTTGGAGAGCCCAGCTCCTTCAGAGAAAAAGGGGAGACAGTGATTCATACTGCCAGGGAGCACATTTCATTTTCCCACTGTTCAGAGAGGATGAACCACGTGGAAAGCTAAAGATCGCTGTTCGGAGCAACACTTCAATTTGCTTTTGTAAATATCCCACCTGGAGGCTTAGTTTTTCCTTTGTTTGGTTTCGTGCCTTTTGCTGAGCTTGCCAGGCCTACGCTGACACACGCCCACGAAGAACTGGTTCATGAGTGCATCTGTGCAAACATACCAGCAAGAACGTCCGCAAGGGGGCATCCATATGTCCATAATGAACTTGTCAGCACAGCAATATGCTTGACCATCTCAGGAGGCCTTGGCATTTACAGAATCAACACTGGTGTCTCTGGTGCTCAGTGACCCTCTCTACATAACTGGGCTGATTCAACTGCGCTGCCTGCAGAGCCAAACGTCCCCACATCGCACATCACGAGGCAGCCCAGAGCCCAACCTCAGGGAAGCACCAGAGGGACAGTGCCCTTCACAGAGCTGAGAGAGGCTGCTCTGTAGTAAGAATACAGGACACGTGACCTGGCCTTCCACAATGTAAATAAGATGAATTAAACCAGATACTACAGATGACTAAATAGAAAACTGTAAATCCCAAACCTACAAAACCACCCAGACCACACATGACACCTTCTAATAACTCACGGAGTTGATGAGGCGATCGGTTTCCCGAGAATTTATTGCTTTAGAAATCCAATTATTGAAGTCATCCAAACTGTAAACAAATAGAAGGCACAGTTCTTTTGTTTTCTTTGGCAGAATTTCAAAATGACCGGATATCATATTAATTGGTTAAAATGAAAATCATGTTAAGTTCAAATTCCATACAAGTCAAAGAATTAAACATTAAAATTTTTTTTAACATACAAAAAAAGTGCAAATCAAAGTTTATAGCACCTGTATTTTAAATGCTTGACTCTTACAGCAACATTTTCTCATCAATAAGAATAGGAATAAAGAGTTGTTGTGAGGGTTTATTGAGGTTATTATTCCCTGTGGTTAGAATTCTTATTAATAATGCTAATAATACTAATAAGAATTCTTATTAATAATATATCATATCACTGAAATAAGAATAGCAAAAAATTTCAAACAAGCACACTCAATAGAGAAATGACCCTGTTACATGGTCTATGACAGCTGTGTAACAGGGTGAGGTACAGCTATTAAAAATAACAAGAATGTGGCCTCTGACTATACAAAGAAATACAAATCTAAACTGTTAAAAACAAAAAGCAAAAACCCGTTACACAGACTCAACTACAACTAAACTAAAATGCATATGTGCATACTGAGAAAGCTTGAAAGTAACTTCAAAGTTATTCAAATATATATTGGGTTCTTATTTTCTAGCAGGGTACTTTTGTCCAAAAAGATATCCAGATGATATTAAACTGATTAACAAAAGATAAATATATTAACTGGTTTTTTTTTTAAAATGAGAAAAACTCGCCGGGACCGGTTTGGCTCAATGGATAGAGCGTCGGCTTGGGGACTGAAGGGCCCCGGGTTCGATTCCGGTCAAGGGCATGTACCTTGGTTGCGGGCATATCCCCGGTAGGGGGTGTGCAAGAGGCAGCTGATCGATGACTCTCTCTCATCGATGTTTCTAATTCTCTATCTCTCTCCCTTCCTCTCTGTACAAAATCAATAAAATATATTTAAAAAAATAAAATAAAATAAAATAAAATGAGAAAAACTCATTTTACATGAACTTTTACATAAACTGTATATTTAAATTATCCAATACATAGGATTCTTTTCTTTTTTCTTTCTTTGCTTTTTTTTTTGTGTGTAAAAGTTCCAAGCATATGCAAAAGTAGATGAACTAGTATAGTAAGTCTCATAGCCCCACCTCCTAGCTTCAACAAGTATCTACACATGTCAGTTTTCCTCCACACTCCCACACAATACCCTTTTTATTTTAAAGAATCCCAAACATCATATAATTTCATCCATAAACACTTCAGTATATATCTCCAAACAATAAAAACTTCTCAATTTTTAAACATAACATACCTTCATTGCATTTTAAAATATTATCAATAATTCCTTAATATTATCAAATACCCAGTTCAATTTCTCAGTCTCATTAAGTTTTTCCTTATAGTATATATGGGGGGGGGGGGGGGGCAATGGTATATGTACAAAGATAATAAGTTAATTAAAAATAAATAAATAAAAGTTTTTCCTTACAGTATAATTGTTTAAATCAGTATCTAAGCATGATATATATAGTCAGTGAATATATTTATGTTGTTGTTAATCCTCATCAGAGAATATTTTCCCACTGATTTTTAGGGAGAGTGGAAGAGAGAAGGAAAGACAGAAACATTGGTGTAAGAGAAATTCATCAATTGGTTGCCTCCTGCATTAGCCCTGACCAGGGCCCAGGCCTGGGAGGAGCCTGCAACCAAGGGATGTGCCCTTGACCGGAATCGAACCCGGGACCCCTTGGTCTGCAGGCCGATGCTCTATCCACTGAGCAAATTGGCTAGGGCTGAATATATTTTAAATCTCTTCTCTTGTTTCCCCACAACTCAACTCCTATTTCTAGCTGATTCAGTACTAATAATATCACTGTTACATGAAAAATATTAAAACAGAGACATCTAAGGAAGGGTGAAAAGGAGAAGTTAAAATATTTTAAAATTGAACTTTTAAAAACTCTTGTACATGCTTGTTCTCCAAGTGAAAGGAGAGAAGTGGTGTTTTTACTACTTTTTCTGGTTCAGACAAACCTGAACTTCCCCAGACTTCCATGGGCATGCTGGGGAGGGCCGGGGCAAGGACAAGGACTCTTGCTTTGCCAATCACAGCATTCTCCTGCAAAGGCAGACTCTCATGCAAAGCAGAGTTTCGGCTCCACAGTGGAGTGAGGTGGTACCTCTTCCCATTGCCAGAGCTTGATATCAGCTAGTAATTGCTTTAGAAAGTGATGTAACAGATACATTCGCATGAAAAGCACCCCATGAAGAAAATCCTAATGAACTGGAACAGTATTTGCACCATATCCAAAGACTGACAAGATGATACCTTAATTCAAAGAAATGAAACGCCTCTGAAAGGATTATACTCTGTCCCTGAAGAGCAGGTAGATCCCACACTTGCTTCTGAGCAGCAAGTCATCCTGCTCCCCCTGCATACAGTCAGATTTCTCCTGCAGGAGCTATTTCTGGGATGCACAAAGGCAGTGGGTCAAAGTGCATGAAAGCCCTAAAATTGTAGAGCTCCTGGAGTGAGCAACCTTAAAGGCCAGCTTCTCTTCCTTCCAATTGGCATACAGCTCACCAACCAAACCCTGTGGTCCTTCCTGGGACCCTAACAGGCTGAGTGCATGAAAAATCAATCTTATTCTTTTTGTAAAATACAGGAACTTTCCTTTAAAAGATGATCTGCCAGGCCCGGATCTATTTTACTTTCTTTTTCTTTTCCAGTCTATTAATTCTCTCTCACCAGAATCCCTGGTACTCGAAGAAGAATTTCCTCTCACACTGCTAACCCAACAAAGGGAAGGAGTCCCTGCTGGGGTCCGGAGGTACCACACCTCAACCTCCGTCTCTGCTGCCAGGTGCCCAGGCTGGCAGGAGCTGGGAAACTGGATGAGAGGGGCGGCCCCAGGACTCAGAGCCAAAGGGAAGAAAGGGTGATTTTCACCGTGGAAATCACCTCCTAAAATCATCACCACTTCTACTCGTTATAAAACAGGATGTGAGACTCGTTCAGGAAATTATTTCTCAAGCGTTTGCTTCTGCCTTTTCAGCCACTTGGGAGGACTGAAGGCAAAGACCCAATAGAACGGGGCTATCATTTCACTGGAGCCAGGGATCACCTCTGAAGCTACATTGAATCCCTAATCCTAGGACTGGAAGGGGCATGGTGAACACAGTGAGTATTCCTTTCATCAAAGAATACTACTCCTTTCCCCAGGGGTGCTTACCTCAACAAGAACCTTAGAAAGCACACGGCAATGATGACCGCTAGACCAACAAGGAGCGCAATATACACAGCTATAAAAATAACAGAAAGCACGTTATCACCAAAAACATCATCATAAGAACCAAAGTTGTCACATTATTAGATTTTATCTGTAAATGAAAAAAATGCAAAAAAAATAAAATAAAAATCACAACAAATGAAGGAAAAGCCTATATCGATATGCTGAATTTCCTATAGACAACTGAGAACACTTCAAAAGGGGAGTGCTAATTTTCATTATGAAAAATACCAAATTACACAAAAATACGGAGAACTGTACAATAAACCCACGCACACCCATCACTTAAATTCTATTATTATCAAAATATTATCACTCTTGCCGAAACCGGTTTGGCTCAGTGGATAGAGCATTGGCCTGCGGACTGAAGGATCCCGGGTTCGATTCCAGTGAAGGGCGTGTACATTGGTTGCGGGCACATCCCCAGTGAGGGGTGTGCAGGAGGTAGCTGGTTGATGATTCTCTCTCATCGATGTTTCTAGCTCTCTATCCCTCTCCCTTCCTCTCTGTAAAAAATCAATAAAAATATAAAAAAATATATTATCACTCTCTCTTTATCTATTACCACTCTCCCCTCTGCTATTACCACTCTCCCCTCTACATGCCTAAAGTGTTTTAAAGCAAACCCCAGACACCCACCACACCCCTGCATCTCCAGTTCTCTCTCTAAAGCAACGGTCTCGTAAAAGATGTGTCAGCATCCTGCAGCTCCTGACATGATCCACTGAGAAGGGCACGCCACTCCCGCAATAATCTACTGGAAAAGCACGGCCTCTACCTCATCCTGAGAGAACAGCAAATAAGCCCAAATAACAAAGTGGCCAGTCTTCTTCAAAAGTGTCAAGGTCGCCCTGACTGGTTTGGCTCAGTGGATGGAGTGTCAGCCTGCAGACTGAAGGGTCCCAGTTTCAATTCCGGTCAAGGGCATGTACCTTGGTTGTGGGCACATCCCCAGTAGGGAGTGTGTAGGAGGCAGTTGAATCGATGTTTCTCTCTCATCGATGTTTATAACTCTCTATCCCTCTCTCTCTCCATTCCTCTCTGTAAAAAATCAATAAAATATATATTTTTTTAAAGTGTCAAGGTCATGAAAGACAAAGACCTGTCCTAGATTACAGGAGGAGCCCACATTCAAATACAAAATTAGAAGGAACAACAGGAGAAAAAGCCGAAACCGGTTTGGCTCAATGGATGGAGCGTCGGCCTGCGGACTGTAAGGTCCTGGGTTCGATTCTGGTCAAGGGCATGTATCCTGGTTGTGGGCACATCCCCGGGGGGGGATGTGCAGGAGGCAGCTGATTGATGTTTCTCTCTCATTGATGTTTCTAACTCTATCCCTCTCTCTCTTCCTCTCTGTAAAAAAAATAAATAAAATATATTAAAAACAAAACAAACAAAAAAACACACAGGAGAAAAAGGAAAAGGATGTAGATGAGAAGGCAGCATCGTACCAATGTGAAGTTCCTGATTTCAGTAATCATACATGGGATCTTTGTACTATGATGATATATCTTAGGGATTTAGGAAAAACTGGGTAAAGGGTATATGGGAACTCTTTTTTTGCACCGTTTCTAGAAGTCTAAAACTATTTCAGCATTCAAAGTTTCTTCAAAATGGACCTTTTGTGATATAACCACACTGTCATACACAATTCGCAATCATTCCCTAGCACTGGTTTTTGTAGTTAGTTCAAATCAGGATCCAAACAAGGTTCACATCTTGCATTGGCTTGTGTTGTCTCTCTCTCTTTTTAAAATAGATTTTATTTATTTATTTATTTATTTAATATATTTTATTGATTTTTTACAGAGAGGAGCAGAGAAGGATAGAGAGCTAGAAATGTCGATGAGAGAGAAACATCGACCGGCTGCCTCTTGCACACCCCCTACCGGGGATGTGCCCGCAACCCATGTACATGCCCTTGACCGGAATCAAACCTGGGACCCTTCAGTCCGCAGACCGACGCTCTATCCACTGAGCCAAACCGGTTTCGGCTTGTGTTGTCTCTTAAGACTCGTTTCCTCATAGGCAGCCATTTACTTGATTCTAACACTGGGTCTCCGTCTCATGCTCTAGATCTGTCAGTACACTTCCTCGTGGTGCCACCAAACGTGTTCTAGCCTCCAAATGTTCTGTACACGGGGAGCAGCTGTAAGGCTTGACTGAAAAGCTCGCCGTCTTGGGGAAGAATGCTTCCCAGAAGGAATTTTTCCCACCGTACTCGGAGCACCTGAGACTGACCCTGTGCCGACGCTGTGTTCAGCCTGTGAGCCTGACCCCTCCCTGGTTAAGTTCCCGTTTCATTGGATGGTATCACCCACTCATGATTTTTTGCCCAAAGCAATTACTTCATTAGGGATTGCGACATATTCTGCCATCCTGCCCTACATTAACTGGGACTCTTCTCTATAAAGAATTTACCCTCATCATCTAGGAGTATTTAATTATCCTCAAATACAGCTGAAACAGGAAAAACAGGATACAGGCTTCAATCTTTCCTTTCAACTGACAATTTTAGTTAGCATCAAGTGTTCCGTAACCTCAAAAGCAACCCAAGTGTGTGTTTGGGGAGAGGGGCCTTGCTCTTTTGAGTTTCACAGTGAGCTCATTGGGTTTTGTATATTCAATGTGTTTCCATTGATTACACTCATTATTCTTTTTAATACTTAAATTGTCCCATGTTGGCTCTTGCATACCGGCTCTTCCATCCTCTGACATGATCCATAGGCTTCAACAGCTTCCCTGTGAACAGCACTTACTAATGCCCTAAGACAGTGGTCAGCAAACTGCGAGCTGTGGTTTGCCACTCTGTTGACTAATGAGTTTGCCAACCACTGCCTTAGGGAAAAACACTTAAAAAACATTTTAATAATGTACAAATGTCTTTAACCTGAAGTCAAAACTCCTGGGTAAGGATAATGCCTTAGAGCAGTGGTTGGCAAACTCATTAGTCAACAGAGCGGCGTCGACCACTGCCCTAGCACTTCCTATATTATCTAGTGGAAGGCTCAGAGTGACATATTCTTCAGTGGAGTTATTACAGAATGAAAGCCCCTTCCTAACCTAAGGGACCTCTGGACTCTCAAGACACACACAAGGAAATATATTTGACAGTCGATTGCTCTACTTCTAGTTTCTTTCCAGTACATTAACCTTTTTGTCTTTATTTATGCTTCAAAATTAAACAACTATGAGGCTATGTTGATATACCATATAATTTCTTTATATATCACATAATCTTCTTGGTACTTTACCAATGACACAATAAGTACATTTTAAATATACCATAACTATGAGAGAGATAATCTATAACCCAGGTTTTAAATTGCAAAGTATTGCAAACAGTACTCAAAAACTAAAACACTCGAAAATACAAATTTTTAAAAAATCAACAGAGTGTATACATACGAAGGTTGCTGTCGACTGGATTCTTATTAACGACTAGTTCACAAGCGGTTTCATTGACTCCATTATGCACGGGCTTGACCAAGAGAGAATAGTTTCCAAATTCACCAAATTTGTATGTCAGCCTATAAAGATTAGGTAAAATTAAGAAAAATGATTAGATCAAGAGAAAAAGAGCTTGATTTGGAGTAATGAAAACAGAATGACAGGCATTTCTGGATGCAGACCAGGAAAGACAAAGGAAAATATCTTGAAAGAAGAAAAAGCTAAAAGCCAAGTAAGAAGAAAGCAGGGAGAAAACAGACTTCAGGAGATCACAGCAAAGCGGGTACAAACCTGCAAACTTCTCTCTGGTCCAGAGTGTCGTTGAGTTGCAGGATGGATGAGTGCTGGGTGCTCACAGCCACGGGGGCCACGCTGGGCTTCCCGGGTTTTCCAGGCCCAGAAACACTGCCCAGGACCTGGGGCAAGCACTACAAAACAAAAGCACGAGCACACGGTCGAGGTGCTGGCCAGTCTGCTGCTTGCTGGAGGACACGGACATGTCCTGAGAGGACTTTCTTTCATACTCAGGAAAAAATGGTTCAATTTCAGTAATTTAGATAAAATCTGCCCATGTAACTATGTGTTGTTATGGAAGTATACAACCTTCATTCATAAGTAGAACTCTCACATAATTAACAAATATAAAGTGTACATTACATCTTGCATTCTGGTGTTTTACTATTCAGCAAATCAATTTCCATGGTTCTACACAATTTGCATATTTATAACTTTTAATGATTGTATTATATGTCATAAAATATTACAATTTTGCATTTTTAGGCTGCTTTCAAAGCTTGTTTTATCTTTCCATATGTAATTTATATAAATTATATTGAAAAAAAATAAATAATTTAAGTATATTATATATATTTACAATTTATATAAGTTATACTGTTTTAAAAGATTTACATATGGTACTCTTATTCACTTAAATTCTTTCCCTAAAATAAACCTCAAAAAAATAAAATTACTAGGTAAAAAATAATAATTTTAATGGTTCTTGTTATATATGCCAAACAGTACTCAAGAAAAATTACAATATATTTAATAGTTTGTTTTTTTTAACATATTTTATTGATTTTTTTACAGAGAGGAAGGGAGAGGGATAGAGATCTAGAAACATGGATGAGAGAGAAACATCGATCAGCTGCCTCTTTACACACCTCACTGGGGATGTGCCCGAAACCAAGGTACAAGCCCTTGACCGGAACTGAACCTGGGACCCTTCAGTCCACAGACCAACACTCCACCACTGAGCCAAACCGGTTAGGGAAAAATTACAATATATTTATTTTTCACAAGTCTTCCCAGGATTTAAAAATCATTCTTCTTTTTGTTCATATACTAGGTATTTAGGATATCACAACATTAAGATTGCATTTTTAAATTATCAGTAGATTAAGTGATTCAATATGCTTTTGCAATTTTGAGTTCTATGGTGTAAGCCATCTTTTAAACAGCAAATTCCCTTGAACATATAGTAGAAATGTCCTCCTCATATACTGTAATATTAAACTTTTAACTATCAGCTATTTCCCCATTCTAAGGCTTTCCTTTTCATCATGTTATATCCTCATTTTTAAAAAAATATATATATTTTATTGATTTTATACAAAGAGGAAGGGAGAGAGATAGAGAGTTAGAAACATCGATGAGAGAGAGTCATCGATCAGCTGCCTCTTGCACACCCCCTAGTGAGGATATGCCCGCAACCAAGGTACATGCCCTTGACCAGAATCGAACCCGGGACCTTTCAGTCCCCAAGCCGGTGCTCTATCCATTGAGCCAAACCGGTTTCGGCTATATCCTCGTTTTTAATTACAAGTGTTTAAAGTTTATTCAGTCGTGCTAATCTGTCTTGTCATTTCTTCTGTTGCTTTATTAGTTTAAAAATGTACTCTGCCTTTTTTAGTATTTTTAAGTTGTGGAGGTTTTTTAAAATTTGAATCTACTTGGGGCATTTGATAGATGGTATATAATAATTCTAAATGCCTTTCCCCCAGGTTTTAGTTGTAATATGTTAAATTCTTATGTAAATTAGCTTTTGCTTCTTACTTACTTTGGTCCTGGTCTTCACTTCATATATACATATATACATATATATATATATATATATATATACACACACACACACACACACATACACACACACACACACACACATATACATATACGTGTGTGTGTGTGTGTGTGTATGTGTGTGTGTGTTTATTGATTTCTGAGAGGGAGAGAGATAGAAACTTCAATGATGATAGAGACTTATTGATCATCTGCCTCCTGCTCGTCCCCCACTGGGGATCGAGCCCACTACTTGGACATGTGCCCTGACTGGGAATTGAACTGCGATCTCCTGGTTCATAGGTCAATGCCCAACCACTGAGCAACACCAGCTGGGCTTCACTTCTTTTTCGACTACCTAACTAGCTGTATCTTCACAACTGTTTGACCTGGTCGTCATGATGCCCATTCACCTTTTGGGCTGATCTTTGATTCTCTTGCTCACTTACTTTTTCATATAATTTTTGGAATTATTTTTGCAGATTCTATAAAGTGTCCATTTATATAATATAATAATAACAATTGTGTTAAATGTATAAATTTGGAAAGTGCTGCCACTTTCCCTGTTTAGGCTTCATATCAGAGTGCATTGGCTATTGCTCCATTTAACCTCTATTTTTTTCATTAAAATTTCACCATTTTCTTTTCATATGAGCTCTAAAGATTCCTCAAGGATAAAAATGTCAAAATAAATAAATGTTTAAATATGCTAACTTATGCCCTAGTCGTTTTAGCTCAGTAGATAGAGTGTTGGCCTGTGAACTGAAGGGTCCCAGATGCGATTCCAGCCAAAGTCACATGCCCAGATTATGGGCTCAGTCCCCAATTGGGGTCATGCAGGAGGCAGCCAATCAATGATTCTCTCATATCACTGATGTTTCTATCTCTCTCTCCCTTCTCCCTTCCTCTCTGAAATAAATAAATACTTTTTAAAAAATGTTAAATATGCTAATTTATTCTGCATGATAGAATTTCATTTAAGACTTTTAAACCCATATTAATTAGAAAGTTTGGATTGCATTTCTTGTCATTTCTTTGCCGAGTCTTAAGATGAACATCCAAACTATACTGCAGAACAAATCAGATACAAGCCATCATTTTTTGGGAGGTGGGATATGTAGGTTAATTTATACAGATTAAGAGTTACTTATTATTTGAAAATGTAGAAAATGTTACCTATTTTTAGGTAGAGAAATTTGTTATAATTTTCCAGATTTCTTAATCAGCTGCTGATCTATTAATGTTCTCAATTTCTTGAATTAATCTTGATATTATTTTTTTTAAGGAAACCAATCAAGTTTTGAATTTCAAATTTATCAGCCTGCAATGCTTCACTGGACCATAATTATTTTAATTACAGTGGTTATATATACACAGCTAAAACCAATTCTTCATCATCATGAGCCTCTCCACTCTGCTCATCACCTGGCCCTGGAAGATACCCAGGCGCCTCACTTCCTTCTCCGGTTACGCATTAGGCAAAGGAGTAAAATAAAGCATGCTCCATCAACTCTGCTCATCACTGAGAAATGGGATTTTTAAAATATAGGTAATGGAAAAGATAAACAAATGTTGCTCATTGCCAGGCATTCTCCATGATTATATTTTCTCTGATTCTATAGGCTGTTTGTTTCTTTACCTATAAAACTAAAGTTAACATGTGAAGGGCTAGAGGTATGAGCATCAAGGACATACCCAATGACCCCCAAAGTCAACAAAACTGTGAGCATGAACACTCTACCTACACGATAGCAGCGTTCAGAATTCCAGTAGACAGTCAAGTTTGTCCTAAGTAGTTCATTTTGGATGAGCAGCAAAGCCTGGTCCATCTTCAGCTCTACATGCTTTTTTCTGTCTAAACCTGGCAAGAATTAGAAGGGGAAAAATTTTTTTTTTAAATCAAAGAAAAACCAAGCACCTGAAAATGTGTTTGATACAAAGTACACCTGCGTGAATGGTGGCTTCGCAGGAGTGCTGCTCAAATGCCCGCATTCTGGGGGCCTCTGGTCCCTTGCTTTGTATATACACAGATATGCATGTGTATACACACACTCACAGATCCTCTTTCACACAAGGGCCTCCACTACACACGAGACCTGTCAACACCAGTCACATCCAGTATGTAAAACAACTGTGTCAGGACCTGCCATTCATCAAGTGCTAAGATGTGACTGAATTTAGGCACTGAATTTAGTCGTTTCCACGTATCTTCTATTTTTATAAGACAATCTCAGGAGCTAGGTATTTTCTCCATTTCACAGCTGAAGAAATTATGGCTCACAAGGATTATATAACTGCCCATGGGCACAGAGTTTTTCTGTGAAATGTTTGAATTGCTCAATTTGTGTGATTCCAGAGTCCAAACTTTCCTGGGCCACGCTAATCAGCTCTGAGTGCAGTAGGGGCAGCATGAGACCAGCAGAACCTCAGACCTACGGTCAGGATGAGCAGGTGAGCAGGGTTCGGGTGCGTTTTGCATGCCCTTTCACTGAAGTCTGAGAAGCCCTGTTTTATATCACTTGGGTTAGGAATTATGAATGTCCTTCTAGCTTCCACAGCAGATGTGTGTCCGGTGAGGAGAGAGGATAAGCTTCCGTCTGAAAGGCAGAAAGACCTAACTGCTCAGTGTTCCCTGGGCTTAACGATCCCCACTATCTTAGGTGCTCTTAGGAGCCCACCGAGACACCACAAGCTAAATTTAAGTTTGCCAAATTTGGGGTGAAACAAAGTGAACTAATACTAGCTAAAGCTACAGTAAAACATTTCATTGAGACCAACTGGACCATTTATATCTATTACTAGAGGCCAGGGGCATGAAATCATACACAGGTGGGGTCTGGCTGGCCCTATGGGGTCTGATGGGGAGGTTGGGGGAGCAAGGGAGGTTGGGAGGGCCGATCGGGGTCCTAATTGGACTGGTTGACTGTCGCAGTGCTTGTCATAGCGACAGGTCGTTCCGGTTGTTCTGTCGTTCCTGTTGCTTGGCTTTTATATATAAATATTACATGAATTAGAAATGAATTGACCCTCTAGCTTCTAGGCAGAGGGAAAACACAGGGAACTAGTAACACACCTAGAAAGGTAATAATCTAGCCTCTTTTATTTAGTAATATGAAAGCTTCCTTCAAGGCTTAAAAAATAACAATAAGTACAAAAGCCCTGACCCCAACTCCAGACCAATTAAATCAGAATCTGTACCCCAACCAGCAAGGTTTTTAAATGTTCCTCCCCAAAACAATAACGAAAACTCCCCAAGTAATTCTAATATGCAGCCAAGATGGAAAACAACAATCAGAGAGACTATAAGTGCAAAGCCAGGGGATTTCGACATCTTTGTAATTTTTGAATCATTTGAACATTTTTTTAAAAATCAACGAGTCTGTATCCCTCAAACACACAAAGCATGCAGTTCCTAAGCCATCCAATGACACAAATTGAACATGATGTTCAGTTTCAAGAAAAGCTGCCAACTCCTGACACAGCTGACTAGAAATATCAGACTAACACTCAAGGAGCATTATCTGCAAAAGAGCAACTCCAGCTGGCTGGTGTTGCTCCATGGTTTGAGTGATGTCCCATGCACCAAAAAGTCACTGGTTTGATTCCCCCCTGTAGGGTATATACCCAGGGTTGCAGGCTCAATCCCCAATAGGGGGCATGCAGGAGGCAGTTGATGGATGTTTCTCTTCCTTTCTCTCTAAAATCACTAAAAACTTATTTTAAAAAATAGAGCAACTCCCTCCTCTTCTTCCTGTCTACAGTGTCTAAGTGAGGATATAGACCAAATAAAGTCACCTTTCAGTAGCCCTAAGGCACTGGTCAGCAAACTCATTAGTCAGAGCCAAATACCAACAGTACAACGATTGAAATTTCTCTTGAGAGCCAAAAACCGACTTCTGCACATGGGCCACGAAGTTTCAATCGCACTGTACATGTGCACCTGCACATGGTATTTTGTGGAAGAGCCACATTCAAGGGACCAGAGGACTGCATATGGCTCGTGAGCCGCAATTTGCTGACCACTGCCCTAAGGTAATGGTAATTTGTGTATCTGACTTTTATTCCACTTCCAAATATTTAACTACAGGTACTATCTCTCTCTGCTCAGGAGTATCTTTGCTGGGCATATTTTAAAGGACATAGCCTCAGTGGATAGAGCGTCAGCCTGAGGAAGGAAGGGTCCCGGGTTCGATTCTGGTCGGGGGCATGTACCTTGGTTGCGGGCACATCCCCGGTGGGGGGTGTGCAGGAGGCAGCTGAGCGAGGATTCTCTCTCATCGATGTTTCTAACTATCTATCCCTCTCTCTTCCTCTCTGTAAAAAATCAATAAAATATATTTTAAAAAAATAAAAATAAAAAAAATAAAAAAAAATAAAGGACATAGCCTACATATTTTTTTTTTTCTATTCTGAAATAAACTTGAATCCTCAAATCATATGAAAATGGAGTTCTTAATAGGAAATTGTTCAGCCCACACATGGACTCCCGGTGGCACGGAAGTTCTGGCAGTCCTTCACAGTGTGGTGAAGGTTCTGGGGTGGATCACTGAAGAAGACTATGTTCTTGCCCTAGCCAGTTTGCATACAGGGGTCCTCAAACTTTTTAAAGTGGGGGCCAGATCACGGTCCCTCAGAGAGCTGGAGGGCCGGACTATATGAACTACTAATTCCTACTGCAACACCTCGGCTGTGCTCACTGCCCAAAAAACCTGGCGGGCCGGATCAGACTCCTCTGCGGGCCGCATGTGGCCCGTGGGCCGCAGTTTGAAGACGCCTGGAGAGCATCAGCCCAGGGACCAAAAGGTCACAGGCCCGATTCTGGCCAAGGGCATGCACCTGAGAGTAGCAGGCTTGAACCCTAGCTTCTTTCTGGGCACTTGCAGTTAGCAACCAAACGATGTGTCTCTCTCACATCAATGTTTCTCTCTCTTTCTCTCTCTGGGTCTCTCCCGCTCCTTTCCACTCTCTCTAAAAATCAATGGAAAAAACACGCTCCGGTGAGGATTAACAACAACAAAAAGAATACTACCGCTCTCCTTCACTGTATACAATTGCTATTTGCAAACTACTTTTCTTCCCCTAAAATAATGATCATTATGAATTGCTGCTAAAAGACAAAGGCTCTGTCCCTGGCATTGTGACAGCGGATTATGCAACCTTTTGGGCTGTTCCCTCAATTATAAAAGAAGGGGAAGAGGACCAGACTGAGTCCAGGGAGGGGTGGGAGAGGCTGCATACAAACCATAATCAGCTAAGACACTTTTTTCAAAATTTGTTCTGTCGTCGCCCTACAAGACTTTGGGGAGGAGAGGCAGTTTGAACTTCACCCTGACACCCAAACACCCGTGCTCTGATTCAGAAAAAAAGGGAGAAGAGGGTTTGCTGTACTTGGCTGATCCCACAATCCCCGACCCAAGTACCATCTGGAGAGGGTCTTGGGGTCCTAGTTCCAGGGGGGCTAGAGAAAGGCCCTGGAATTTGCATTTTCACCATTTGCACTGGCGAGGTCCCAGGCTTTAGGGAAGCAGCAGATACGCTGAGAGCCTCTCCTCCCGGCCTCTCACTTCCTTGGCAAAAAAATAAAATAAAAATAAAAATAAAAATACCCGCACAGGCTGTGCACCTCCCTCGGTGACATCCCCACCAACTGCAGGGTGCCCGTAAACCACAGCCTCCACTCTTCCTCCGGTCAGCTCCGAGGTAAAAAGCCTCCCGAGGGAGGCTGGGGGGAGGTTCGCTTGGGATGGGACTTCGGGAGTTTTGAGGATCACACTCTGCGGTCCCCGCCCTCCGCTCGCTGCCTCCCGCTGCGCTTCCCTGCTCGCTCGCCGGCCGCTGGCGGTTCGCTCCCGGGTGCAATCCCAGCTCCGAGCCCGGCCTTTCGGGGTGCAGCTCTGGGCCGGGGCTGCGGGGCACGGGCGTCCCGCAGCTCCAGCCTTGGCGTGGCGCGGGCCCAGTCCGGTCCCCCGGGGAAGGGGCTGCACTGGAGCGGAAGACCCGCCGCACACCGGCCCAGAGGAGCGATGGCCATCGGATGCTCCGCCTCGGCCAGCCCCCTCACCTGGCTCTGCACCGGGGGGTCGGAGGCGCGCACACCAGAGTCGCCGGAGCCGCTGGGCGCCCGCAGCCCCGGGCGGGCGGGCGGGGCGCGGCTCTCGGAGAGGTCGCGCCCCGCTCCCAGCCGCTCTCCCCGAGCTCCGGCCCTGGGGCGGGTGCCGTTGGGATGTCCCCCCTCCCCGCTGCACGATGCTGACCCCCGGGGTGCCAGCGCCAGCGGCCAGCGTGCCAGCGACAGCCCCCCGGTCCGGACACGCCCGCCGCCGCGTAGGAGAAACAAACATTCTAGTTCCGGAGACCCGCTCTGCGGAGCGCCCGCGCGGGGCCGGAGGGGGCGTCGCCCCGCCCAAACGGGAGGGGACCACCGCGCGCCCCGCGGTCCGGAGCCTCCGCGCACTCACCTCGCGGGCCGCGCTCCAGGGCGTCGCCGGAGGCCAGCAGCGCGGCGCTCAGCGCGGACGCGGCCAGCAGCAGCGCGGCCAGCGCCCGGCCCGCGGCCCGCGCCCAGCTCATGTCGCCCGCCGCCGCCGCCGCCCGCCGCTCCAGCCCGGGCGCCGCCTTGCCTGCCGCGCCGCCGCCGCCGCGCTCCCGAGCTCTGCGCTTCTTGGCGGCGCGCGGACGCGCGCCCGTCATCGCCTCCCGCCCGAATGCCGTCACCGCCGCCTGAGTCACCGCGGGGGCGGGGCGTGCGGGGCGGGGGCGGGGCGTGGGGACCCAGGGGCGGGGCATGGGATCCTGGGGCGGGGCTTAGGAGGCGGGGGCGGGGCTGCGGAGGCAGAGGGGCTTGCGGAGTCAGGAGCCGGGACGTGTAGAGCGGGGGGCGGAGCTGCGGAGCCGGGGCGGGGCTGCGGGGTGGGGGCGGGGCTGCGGGACCGGGGGCGGGGCCGGCAGGTGTGCGAGGGTCCGAGGAGCCGGCCCACGCTGGGCCCTGCGCTCTGGGAAGCTTCCTAAGGAAAGGACCTAAGCAAAGGACCAAGATTCTCTCCAGGTTGCTTGCTGCCTTTTGTTATCGGAGAACCATCCAGAAGAGAGGCCTCCCACAGGCCACAAGCCACTACTCCCGTGTCTGATCACCTCTCTGAGAGGCATTCTGTTCAATTCCTGCGTCTGGTTATTCAACATGCAAATGGAGGTTGGTGTCTTCTGTCCACTGTTCTGGAAATGGCATGGTAAGTAAGACAGGCAGAGCCCCGGGCCCAAGGCATTCACTATCCGGAGATGAGACTTAAAAGCCATCGTGCACCACCACTTTGAAGAGCTCTTTGGCAATCTCTGATAAAGTTCAAGGCTAGCAGACACCGTGACCCCGCAGTTGCACTCGCAGCTATACGACTGCAGAAACTACCATTTCTATAAAGGGACATGTGCGATAACGCTTGTAGCACAATGCGTTATAATCGCAAAAGCCTGTAAATAATCTAAATATTCATCAGTAGAGGAAATTGATGTGATGAGATATACATATATATATATATATAGCAGTATTGATGATCTAGAGTTACATGTACTGAAATGGGTGAATCTCAAAATAAGGCAGAGGGGAAAATGCAAGTTGCAGAAATGCCTTTGTAATAACTTATATGTCAAGTGTGAAGCCAAGAACAACAATACTATATGTTGATTAGGGATAAATGCATATGTAATAAAAGTGTAAAGACACATATGGAAAGATAAATGCTAAACTTACAGCTAACATGACACTTAAAAAACTAAGTGTTTTCCCCTTGGATCAGGAACAAGGCAAGGATAACCGGACTCATCACTTCTACTCAGCATTGCCCTGGGGTCCTGGTCAGTGCAAGAAGGTAAGGAAAAGAAAGGAAAAAAGCATACAAATTGGCTTTATTCAAATATGTCATGAATAAATGCATGTGTGTAAACTTTTAAGGAATCTCCCACACATACCCCAAAACTAACAGAATTTATTTTATTTTAAAATATATAGATTTTATTGATTTTTAAAAATATTTTTTAATTGATTTTGTATAGAGAGGAAGGGAGAGAGAGAGAGAGTTAGAAACATCGATGAGAGAGTCATTGATCAGCTGCCTCTTGCACACCCCCTACTGGGGATGTGCCCACAACCAAGGTACATGCCCTTGACCAGAATCGAACCTGGGACCTTTCAGTCGACAGACCAATACTTATCCACTGAGCCAAACCGGTTTCGGCAAAACTAACAGAATTTATAAGTGAATTTAACAAGGTCATAGAATTCAAAATCAATATACAAAAATCAATTGTATTTTCTTTCTTTTTTATTTTTATTGTTTTCTTACAGAGAGGGAGGGAGAGAGACAGAGAGTTAGAAACAGGGATGAGAGAGAAACATCCATCAGCTGCCTCCTGCACACCCCCCACTGGGGATGTGCCTTGACCAGAATCGAACCTGGGACCTTTCAGTCCACAGCCGGACGCTCTATCCACTGAGCCAAACAGGTTTGGTTCAATTGTATTTTCATATCAAGATGTAAACAAAATTGGAACTTGACTTTTTAAAAATAGCATTTACAATAGAATTTTTTAAATTAATACATAAATAAATTTAACAAAAAAGGTATAAGACCTGAACGCTAAAAACTACAAAACATGACTGAGAATAATTAAAAACCTAAATAGTTGGAGAGATCTAGCATGTTCATAGATTAGAAGAACCATTACTGTTAAAATGCCAGTTTTCCCCAAACTTATCTCTATAGATTGAGTGCAATCCAAATAAAAATCCCAGTAGGTTATTTCTTGTGTGTGTGTGTGTGTGTGTGTGTAGAAATTGACAGCTGGTTCTAAAAATTATATGGAAAAAAAATCTAAAAATCTAAAAATATATGGAAATGTAAAATGACTTTGAAAAAGAACAACAAAATTGTAGGTCTTGCACTATCTGAGTTCAAGATTTACTAGAAAGCTATAGTAATCAAGATAGTGTGCTATGAGCATAAGGTAGCAATAGAGATCAACAGAACAAGATAGAGCGTCTCTAAAAGTAAATGCACAGAACTGAATTTTCACCAAGTTACCCAAGAAATTTAATGGGGGAAATAATGTTTTCAATAAATGATGCTAAAACAATCATTTCAATAAATAATGCAATGTGAACTTTAACCCTTACCTCACAGCATACACACAACCGGATGAGAAATGAAATATGGACCTCAATGTAAAAGCTAAAACTATAAAGACTTCTGGAAGAAAATAAAGGAGAAAACCTTCCTGACTTTCTTAAACAGTATATAAACCATTTTATTTATTTATTTATTTATTTATTTATTTATTTATTTTTGTTAATCTTCACCCAAGGGCATTTTTTTCCATAGATTTTTTAGAGACAGTGGAAGGGAAAGGGAGAGACAGAGAAAAGGAAACATCGATGTGTGAGAGACACATCAATTGGTTGCCTCCTGCTCCTACCCAGGGCCAAGGATTGAGCCTGCAGCCTAGGTACGTGCCCTTGACCAGAACTGAACCTGGGGCCCTTTGGTCCACTGGCAGATGCTCTACCCATTGAGCCAAACTGGCTAGGCCTAAACCATTTAAAACACAAACTTAAACACAGTTAAGAAAATGAAAAGGCAAGCCTCTGGCTGTGATAAAAAGATTTGCAAAAGACATATCTAGTAACAGACTTAATTCCAGGTTACATAATGAACTCTTACAATTTAATAATAAGCAAATTATTTTAAAATAGGCAGAAGATTTGGACTCTTCACCAAAGATGTGAATGGCCAATAAATATAAAAATTTATCTTAGGGAAAATGCAAATTAAAACTACAATGAGCCGAAACCAGTTTGGCTCAGTGAATAGAGTGTTAGTCTGCGGACTGAGGGGTTCCGGGTTCAATTCCAGTCAAGGGCATGTATATTGGTTGCGGGCACATCCCCAGTAGGGGGAGTGCAGGAGGCAGCTGATCGATGTTTCTCTCTATTGATGTTTCTAGCTCTCTATCCCTCTCCCTTCCTCCTGTAAAAATCAATAATATATATATATATTTAAAAACTACAATGAGATGGCACTACACACCCACTAGCATTGCTAAAATTAAATGAGCTGATAATAACAAGTGTAGACTAAGAGTATGGAGCAAATGGAACTCCTGAATATTGCTAATGGGAATATAACATGGTATCAGGCGTCTTCAAACTACGGCCCGCGGGCCACATGCGGCCCGCAGAGGAGTCTGATCCAGCCCGCCAGGTTTTTTGGGCAGTGAGCGCAGCCGAGGTGTTACAGTAGGAATTAGTAGTTCATGTAGTTCATATAGTCCGGCCCTCCAGCTCTCTGAGGGACCGTGATCTGGCCCCCACTTTAAAAAGTTTGAGGACCCCTGGTACAGATGCTCTGAAAAACAGTTTAGAAGTTTCTTATAAAGTTAAACATATTCTTAAATGTGATCATAGGAATATTCCTAGGTATTTACCCAAGAGAAAAGAATTGTATTTAAATGGTAACAGCAGTTTATTTCATATTAGCCCCAAACTAGAAACAATCCAATGTCCATCAGTAGATGGCTGATGAACATACATATAATGGAATATTACTTACCAATAAAAATATATAAATTACTGCCCTGACCAGTTTGGCTCAGTGGATAGAGCGTCAGCCTGTGGACTGAAGGGTCCCAGGTTCAATTCTGGTCAAGGGCATGTACCTTGGTTGCAGGCACATCCCCAGTGGGGGGTGTGCAGGAGGCAACTGATTGATGTTTCTCTCTCATCGATATTTCTAACTCTCTATTCCTGTCCTTACTTCTCTGTAAAAAATCAATAAAATAAAAAGATATAAATTACTGATATAAACAACAACATGGATGGATTTCAAAAACATTGCAATGAATAAAAAAGGCACAAAAATGTTTATACCACACTGTATAATTCCAAGTATGATATTCGGGGAGAAAAATTCTAATCTTCCTAAAAAGCAAGCAGAGTCATTGTCTGAGGCCAGCAATTGGGAAAGGATTGAAGGGGGTGGGGGGAGACACATGGGAAATTTTATGAGGGAAATTTTAAAAAAATATATTTTATTGATTTTTTACAGAGAGGAAGGGAGAGGGATAGTTAGAAACATCAATGAGAGAGAAACATCAATCAGCCGCCTCCTGCACACCCCCCACAGGAGATGTGCCCGCAACCAAAGTACATGCCCTTGACCAGAATCGAACCTGGTACCCTTCAGTCCACAGTGGACGCTCTATCCACTGAGCCAAACCAGTTTTGGCTATGAGGGAAATGTTTTATGTTTTATCTATAGGGGTAGTGGCATGAGTATATAAATGTATCAAAACTCACTACAATGTACACTTAAACTGGTTGCATTTTATTACATACTAGAGGCCCGGTGCACAAAATTTGTGCATGGGGGGGGTGGGAATGAGGGGGAAAAAAGCTGGTCCCTCAGCCCGACCTTCACCCTCTTGCAGGGGATGTCTGACTGCCAGCTTAGGCCTGATCCCCCTGGCAGTCAGACATCCCTATTGCAGTCTGAGGTTCTCACAGTCCTGGACCCCTCGCTCTTTACCTGGCTCCGCAATCACCACTGCGCTCACCAGCCATAAGCTCGGCTTCTAGATGAGCAGTGCGCTCCCCATGTGGGCGCGCACTGATCACCAGACGGCAGCTCCTGTGCTGAGTGTCTGCCCCCTGGTGGTCAGTGCGCGTCATAGCGACCAGTCATTCTGGTTGTTCCGCCATAAAAGTTGCTTAGGCTTTTATTAAATAGATAAACCAGGTTTGTGCCTTAGACAATTAGATGGATGGTGTTGTGCCACTTACAAACATAGGAAACAAGCAGCAAAGCCAGCACAGAGAAGAGTAATTTGGGAAATGTTGAATTTGAGGTATTCTTTGTATGGACCTGTTTTCAGTTCACTTGGGTAAATACTTGGGAGTGGAATTGCTGGGTCACAGTAACTCTATTTTTAACTTCCTGAGGAGTGCCAGACTGGTTTCCAAAGCAGCTGTACCATTTTACATTCCCGCCAGCAATATTTGAGGGTTTCAATTCTCCACATCCTCACCAATACTGTCACTGTCCATCCTTTTGATTACAGCCCTCCTAGTGGGTTATGGCAGTTTTTATAACAAAAAGCAGCAGTTGAAACAAAACTGTGGGCAAGCCTAAACTGGTTTGGCTCAGTGGATAGAGCGTTGGCTTGCAGACTGAAGGGTCCCAGGTTCGATTCCAGTCAAGGGCATGTACATTGGTTGCGGGCACATCCCCAGTGGGGGGGGGTGTAAGAGGCAGCTGATCGATGATTCTCTCTCATCGATGTTTCTAACTCTCTATCCCTCTCTGTAAAAAATCAATAAAATATATATTTTTTTAAAAATACTGTGGGCAGGCACATTCTCTGATCAACCAGAGGACCCAGTCCACCACAGGCAGTAGACTAGGGGATAAGACTGACACCACGGCCGTGTCAGTGCCTGTGGTGCCCTATCTGACCGTTAGGGGCAGTGGCTGTCACTGCCCTGGGGACCAGTTAGAAATGCAACGTTTCGGACTCTAACCCAGACCTTCTGAGTCAGAGACTCTGGGGTCCCTGTGATTCCAGGGAGCCTACCCCTCCATGTCAGCTTTTACCACCTTATTAGGGATGATTGATATGCACCAAATCCATCATCCTCTGCAAACAATGACGGTGAACAAGGAAAGAGCTTTTTGAAGATTCAATCGTGCAGCTCAAGCTTCCAGTCATGAGTGACAGTGTCGATGTGAAATGTTCACAATAATTTTGGACAGAGAAAACCCAGCAGGAAAGTGAACACGAACATCACAACTACCATCCAAGGCAGTAACACTTGTCATTTCCCTCATACTTGTTGTTATAAATATTCCTTATTCATTAAAAATTTCAGCCCAGCTGGCATGGCTCAGTGGTTGAACATCGACCTATGATCCAGGAGGTCATGGTTCAATTCCTGGTCAGGGCATGTGCCCAAGTTGTAGGCTCGATCCCCAGTGTGGGGCATGCAGGAGGCAGCCAATCATCAATTCACCTATCATTGATGTTTCTCTCTGTCTCCGAAATCAATTCCATATAATAAAAGGCTAATATGCAAATTGCCCCCTTGATGGGCAGTTCGACCAGGAATTTGACCAGGGGACAGGGCCAGCCAGCCAACTGCCCATGGCCCCTCCCCCTAACCCCACCCCCGATTGGCCCCACTAGCCCCATTTGGGGCTGGCTGGCAAGACCCCACCTGTGCACAAATGCGTGCACCGGGCCTCTAGTAAAAATATATTAGAAAACAAATATCAAAGAGCATGACATCCTAGTTCTCCTTAAGCTCCTAGGTAGGAGGATGGCACTGAAGCTTCACAGAGCAATCATTTAAAACAGTAAGGGTGGCCTCACCCATCAAAGGGAAGCAGACCAGGGATACTCACAGGACCTGGTATATTGATTACCATCTAAAAAAAAGAGGAAAGAAGATTCTTTGCACAACTACTCTAGGTTTCTATCCTATACTGCCATTTAAAAATCTCCTCTACCTACCTTTCTTACAAGCTTACAAACTCAGTCCTTAGGACAGGGAAAGGCTCTTTTGCAGCTACGTCTTCCTGTAGTTACTTCCTCCAGATACGGGTCAGATTCGCTGCTTCTCTGCCGCTTCTCCTGCGAGCGATGGGTGTCAGACGTGAAGCCAGGCTTAGATCGAGCCGGTTGCTCTGGCTCAGCCACGCCTGCCCCGGTGGCCAGCAGGGGCAGCTCCTCCCACGTGCGCCCGGGCACAGAGGAGGAGCCACCGGGCTGCACAGCAGCAAGCTCAGGGTCCCAGCAGAACCGCGGCAGCCGTTCTGCAGCCGTTCTGCTTGCTCCTGAACCCGCCCCCTTCCCTGACCGGGCTTGGGCTTCACAGCATTTCTCTGGCCTGGGACGGCGCGGCGTCTCTGAGCGAGCTCAGGACCCGCTGGTACGCGTCCAGGACGGCCTGCGCGGTGGGCCTCTCGGCCGGCGGCCGGCTCTTGCAGGCCTTGTGGATGTCAAACAGGTGGAATCGGACCACGTCGCTGCCCTCGACGTGCCCCAGGAGGAAGCTGGCGACGTCGGGGATCTTCCAGATGTCGGCCTTCTCGTCGTAGGGGGGCATGAGGTCGTCGCGGAAAGGCACGTCCTCCCCGAAGGGCCAGCGCTGCTCCGGGGCCACGAAGTCGCCGCGCAGCTCCCGGCGGCCGCACTTGGCCAGCGCCCCGGCGCTGCGGTTCACGGGGGGCAGCGCGTCCAGGTCGTTGGCCACGATGCTCAGGTTGCTGGTGAGCAGGTACTGGGACAGCGTCTTGGGCAGGTCGCTGGAGTCGCACATGACCCGCGTGCCCAGCGGGCTGTGGTGCAGGAAGTGGAGGATGCCCACGTAGTCCATGGCCAGCTGCAGCCGCCGCTGCCAGGTGTTCACGGCCTGGTACTTGGAAAGGTTGAGCGTGGCTTCCAGGCTGCCCAGCGACCCCAAGGGGTGGTACTCGGTGAGAATGGTGCCGTCCTCCTCGCAGAAGCCGAGCAGCGTGACGACGTGCTTGCTCTGCAGGGCCTTCAGCATCTGCAGGCCGTGGAGGAAGTCGTCTCTCATCTCCGGGCTGGTGAGCCGTGAGAGGGCGACTTTGCGTCCCTTCCACTCCGAAAGGAAGACCTGAAACAGGGCCAGAGCACATCGCCTGTGTCAGGGAACCGGGAAACCACTCCACAGATATCTTTCTTTAAGAATTGGGTGTGGCCGAAACCGGTTTGGCTCAGTGGATAGAGCGTCGGCCTGCGGACTGAAAGGTCCCAGGTTCAATTCCGGTCGAGGGCATGTACCTTGGTTGCGGGCACATCCCCAGTGGGGGGGGGGGGGTGCGAAAGGCAGCTGATTGATGATTCTCTCTCATCGATGTTTCTAACTCTCTATCCCTCTCCTTTCCTCTCTGTAAAAAATCAATAAAATATATTTAAAAAAGAAAGAAAGGAAGGAAGGAAGGAAGGAAGGAAGGACGGACAAACTGGATGTGGTACAGAGGACATGGAAATTGACGACACAGACCCGGCCCCAGGGTTGCTCTTAGTCTAGCTATAAAGATTCACATATGAGCAAACACAAGATACCCAGCGAGGCTAGTGCCATATTAGCAGGAGGAGGCAGAGGGACTGACTCTGGCCAGGGTGCTGTGGGGCCATCTGTCTGGAAGGAAGAGAAAGGAAGAAAGAAATGTGGGTGAGTGCAGAATAGGGAGTGAGGATGTCTGGGTGAGTTTTAGGGGGCAGCAGGGCCCAGATCAGGGCGTGTGGCAGATCACGGTAAAAGGTTTGTATTCTTCCCGCTGAGGACAACGGGAGGCCACTGAAGGGGTCTTTAAGGAAGAGAACGGCGTGACCTGAATTGAGTTTAGGAAATGACTCCGCCTGGTGCATGGTGAAGGGCAAACGCGGAAGCAGGGGTGCCTGTTCCTGAGGCAAGAGCTAATGGTGATGTCACTCCAATGGGGCGGGGACAGAGGTCATGGGACAAGGTTGGGACGTGGGTGAGAGGACTCCAGATGACTCCCAGGTTTGGGCTCGAGCAACTAGGTGAGAAGTGATGGCGCTTTCTGCGGTTTTAAGGCTGGGGAAGAACAGGTTTCAGAACAGGGGATTATCAAGTGCCAAACCAGAGGTACTTAGATGCTCAAGAGACCTCCACACCGAAGAGTGGAATAAATAGTTGGATAAACCAATCTGTGGCTCCGGGGAGGGGTACAGGCTGGAGATATAAATTTGGGAGTCACCAGCACATAAACTGTATTTAAAGCAATGGAACTAGACTAAATCAACTCAACGTGTATCTAAAGAAGACAAAAGAAGAGGCCCAGGAAGGAGCCAAAAGGAATAAGGTTTCTCAGCCTCAGGACTGCTGACATTTCTGGGCCAGATATTGTGTGTGGAGGGTGACTAGCAGCATCCCTGGCCTCCACCCATTGGATGCAGCAGCACCCCCCTGTAAGCCCCACTATGACAACCTCAAACGCATCTCTACTCATTGTATCTCTTCTCATCGCCGGGCGTCCCCAAGTGCTCTCTGACGTGGAGCAGGATGGGGAACAGCAGCAGCAAAGGAGGGTAATCAGGAGTGGCCAGTGCGGGAGGAGGAATGCTAAAAACACACCACAGCGCCAAGAGCCAGGGCTGCAAGCAGAGAGGAGTCAACTGGATTAGGACGGCGAGAAGGAGCGAGAGGAAGACAGAGGAGAGGAAAGCGCGGGCCTCTGTGTGAGCGCAGTGGAGCAGTTTGGGAGCCCCAGGGAAGAAGGTGGAAGCTTGAAAGAGAGAAGAGGCAGAAGGGCTATGGCAGTTTTACTGCAGAGGGAGGGGGCTCAAGAGAAGAGATGTTCTTACTCAAAGTGCCCACTTGTGTGCCAGTAGGAACCAGTCTCAAAGTGGGAAACATGGATGATGCAAGAGATGGAGGGAAAGACTGAAGTCAGGGAAGTTGTGAGAAGCCAGGGACCAACCACGCCTGAGCTGGAGGTTCAAGGACTAGTGGTGGGAAGAAGAGGAGATTCCCTTCAGGTGGATTCTATTGTACCTCATAATAAATAACAAGATCGTCAGCTGAGGCAGGGACTGGGGGTGTTGAGGAAATATCTGTCTCGGAGATTGGGAGGGAAAAGGTACTGCAGGCACAGAGCAGGCCAGCCGGTCTGTGCTGAGTGCACAGCTGAGATTTGTGGCCATGCACTCAACCACACAGCGGTGCTCAGGGGCAGATGGGTAGTGGGTCTGGGGCTCTGCAGCCAGGCATGATGGAGACAGACGCCAAGGAGCTGTGGCAAGCGTGTGTGGGAGAGTGATGGGGGTGATGGCCACGGGACCTCTGCTGCGGGGTAAATCGGGGAGTGCAGGCAGGAGGGCGTCAGACAGTGAAAACATAACAGCAGTGGCCTCAACGAGACAGGAATCACTGAAGCAGGGGCACTAGGGAGGAGGTGGGGGGCGGAGAGGGGGGCGTCAAGAAGTCTGGTTACAGAAATCCCTTCTGAGAAACCCTGTGGGGTGTCAGGGAGGAGGGCGCCCACCCGTGTGCAAAGGAAGAAGCTCGTTCCTTCGGGGCTTGTTCAAATAAGGGAGGAAGAAGGAAGGACAGATGAGGGAGGAGAGACAGAGCTATGGCAGTTTTACTACAGAGAGAGGGGGAATAAAGGTTCTTATTTCAAGAGTGCGTGTGTTTGTGCACCGACAGGAATGATCCTCCGAGTGGGAAAGACTGAAGTCAGGCACCAGCCACACCTGAGCTGGGGGCTCCAGGTCTCCTGGAGGGCAGTGAGCGCCTGCGCTGGGCCAGAGCCTGCGCACGCATTGAGGCTTCGATGGGGCAGGACGAACAGACTCCGGACCCCACCCCACTAGCATCGGTGCTCAGGACACCTTTGCCCCGAGAGCAAGTGTTGGCCAAAAGCACACACAGAACATATGTGAACAGCCTCTAGTCACACTAACAAACAAACCACGTTTCTTAGAGTTGGTCCCCACGTCATTAAATAGCATATTTGGATGGGCACCATGTGTAGATTTCCCCAAAATCCAGTCTGTCCTCATACAAAAGTGATCTGCCACCATCAAAGCTACTCAGAAACATACCTTTGAGGCAAAAAGCAATCCCAAAAAATAAACATTTTAAAATGTTCCAAGGGATTCCAATCATACGACACACGCTGGCGGGAACCTCTTTGGAGGGGACAAATTCACCGCTATGTCCTCTTCTCTCCTTAATCCCTTTGGGGTGCTTTCTTCACATCCGAACGCTCCCAATGCCATCCCAGAGGTATAGTCCCCAAACCAGGACCTCCAACCAACCGCCTGCCGACGTCTCCGTGTGGACCTCTGAGCGGCCTCGACATGTCGCCTCACGCACACACCCCGTCGGCTCCTTCCCCTCCTCGTATCGGGCAACGATGAACCTATTCGTCCTGGTACCCAGGCCAAGCACCTTGCAGTCACCCTCTTTCCCTCGTACCCCACATGCAATCGACTGCCTCTACCTTTAAAATAGGACTGAGTCCACTTTTCTGACTGTATCCACCGCTAACACCTTGTCAAGCTGTGACCATCGCTCTGCTGCCAGGCCTCGCCCGGCCACCTCCGATTCCAGCCCCCTCTGACTCTGCGTGCCCTCCCTCCTCCTCACCCTGCCCTCCGGGCTCCCGGGCTTCTTCCTGCTCCCCAGACAGCCAAGCAGGTTTATCTCGGAGCCTCTGCTGGTACCCACCTCTCCTACTGGAACACCTTTTCCCCAAATACCCACTCTCGGACGGTCCCGGCCACCTAGAGCAGTGGTCGGCAAACTCATTAGTCAACAGAGCCAAATATCAACAGTATAACAATTGAAATTCCTTTTGAGAGCCAAATTTTTTAACTTAAACTTCTAACGCCACTTCAAAATAGACTCGCCCAGGCCGTGGTATTTTGTGGAAGAGCCACACTCAAGGAGCCAAAGAGCTGCATGTGGCTCGTGAGCTGCAGTTTGCTGACCACGGGTCTAGAGGAACAAGCCTGTCACCGCCCTGCTTTGTCTTCACAGCGCATCATGGACATGCTTCATCACAGTTTCTTATTTTCCTGATCGTCTGACTCCCCCACTGGAAAGCAAGCTTCAAGGGTCTTTGTTTCTTTCACTGCCTCACCCCTAACAGCGACAATGAATGAAAGAATGAATGAATGAATCTTTAAAAGAACCAGTTACCTTGCTTTACGGTTTTACTTTATAGAAATGCCTGTCCCTTCTTCCTGTCTGACTTTTTTTTTTTTTAATTTCTTTATTGATTAAGGTATCACATATTTGTCCTCAACCCCCCCAATCCACTAACTGACTTCTTCCTTTACGATGTCTCCTCTCCACACTTATGGGAGCAGCAGCCGGCCGGGGTCCCCATCTCCCAAAATAAAGACCAGCACTTTATGGAGCGGCAGCCGCTCACGCATGTTCTGCTCCCTCCTTCTCTCTCACTAGTCATTCAATGCATCCTCACAAAGGAGCTGTCCTTGTTCAACAGCCCTGAACTGGCTTCTAGAGTCGCTCTTTGTTTTATCAGCGAGCCTCGGTTAGCGTGGAAACGATGACCACCAAAAGGCAGCACACTCCTTGCTGATGAGACAAGGGCTCTCGAAGCCTCTGGATTCACCCCTTTGGTTTCTCTCATTAAAATTAAAAACTTTAAAAAAATCAAGATACCATCAGAGAGTATGAATAGTAAGAATGAAAAATATTGCCCACAACCCTTCACTGTAACACAATTTCTATCATTTATATATTTTTCTACATAAATACATAATTTTGCAGTTGAAAACAATATATTCAACAATTTTGTATTTTGCTTTTTTTTTTTTTTTTTTTTTTTTACTTCTCATCCTAAATTTTTTTCATGTTGCTGACCACGTTCCTAACTACAGTTAATGGTGACAGAATATTCTGTTAAGTGGTTGGACCATAACTTAATTAACCATACTGCTGCAGTTACTATTCCTAGTTTTCTTTTCCTAACAAAAACAAAGCAGCCTGGCCGGGTGTGGCTGTGATTGAGCATCGACCTATGAACCAGGTGGTTACAATTCGGACTCCTGATCAGGGCACGTGCCCAGATGGCAGGCTGAATCCCCACCCAGTGGGGACTGTGCAGGAGGCGGCCGGTCAATGATTCTCTCTCATCACTGATGTTTCTCTCTTTCCCTCTTCCTTCTCTCCGAAATCGATAAAAACATATTACAAAAAAAAAGACACACGCACACACAAAAACAAAGCAAAGCATTTCTTTAAGCAATTAGCTTTTTCCCTCCCACCGGGTTGTTTTATTCGATGTGCAGTCCCTGGCTCATGATGCCACGCTGCATCCACCCATCCACACCGAGACGGTAACACGGAGGTTGACCGGGAACTCACTCTCTTCACGGCGCCCTCCCCGACGCGCTTCAGCGGCCTCACTTCCGTCCTCAGCTCCGCGCAGGACAGCCACGCTGAGCAGCTGTCCATCTGTCCCACTCTGAAGTGCCCGTAGGGACAGCGCCGGGGGTCCGGGGCAGGACGCCGAGGGGCGACGAAGAAGCGATCGAGGCAGAGGTAGAGGAGCGCGTTCATGACAACCAAGGCCAGCAGCAGCCCCACCACCGGGGGCACCTCCCTGTGGGGGGCACTCCTTCTGCCATCCTGAGGCTTCGGCTCCATGCTGTTATCCTCTGTGATTTCCTGAAACGTAAAAGTGAAGTAATAACGGCTTTCTTTTATGTTCAGTAACAAGTGGTTTTTTCAAAAAATATATATATTTTATTGATTTTTTACAGAGAGGAAGAGAGAGGGATAAAGAGTTAGAAACATTGATGAGAGAGAATCATCGATCAACTGCCTCCTGCACATCCCCTACCGGGGATGTGCCCGCAACCAAGGTACATGCCCTTGACTGGAATCGAACCCGGGACCTTCAGTCTGCAGGCCGATGCTCTATCTACTGAGCCAAACGGTTTTGACAGCAACATGTTTTGTTTGTTTGTTTGTTTTTAATATTTTTTAAATTAATTTTTTACAGAGAGGAAGGGAGAGAGATAGAGAGCTAGAAACGTTGATGAGAGAGAAACATTCTCTACCAGCTGCCTCTTGCACACCCTCCACCAGGGACGTGACCGCAAACAATGTACATGCCCTTGACCAGAATCGAACCTGGGACCTTTCAGTCCGCAGACCGACGCTCTACCGCTGAGCCACGCCGGTTTCGGCGGCAGTAACGTGTTTTGATGGTGACGGCCTGAAGGTGGCCCACCCTCTAGGCCAGTGGTTCTCAACCTTCCTATTGCCTCGACCCTTTCGTACAGTTCCTCATGTTGTGGTGGCCCCCAACCATAAAATTATTTTCATGGCTACTTCATAGCTACAAATTTGCTACTGTAAATGAATCGTAATGTAAATATCTGTGTTTCCCAAGGGTCTGAGGCTCTGCAGCAGTGGGTCTCAGGCCGCGACCCACAGGTGGAGAACCGCTAGCAGGGTCGCCTAAGACCACCGGGAAACACAGATATTTACGTTACGATTCATTTACAGTAGAAATTTACAGTTATGAAATAGCCACGAAAGTAATTTTATGGTTGGGGGGTCACCATGACATGAGGAACTGTATGAAAGGGCCGCGGCATTAAAAAGGTCGAGAACCACTCTCTAGGCCTCTTCTATGCAAGGATCCTGCACGTGGGCATGTTCGTGAGGATGGAAGAGATGCCTGGGCGCTAGGCTCACACCACATGCTCAGTGTCAGCTGCTCTCGGTATTTATTACAAACCACAGTCTGGGCTCCTCCGTTATAGATTCAACTAGAGGCCCGATGCGTGAAATTCATGCAAGAGTAGGCCCCCGCAGCCCAGGCTGCCTTGGCCCTGGCAGCCCTGCCTCTCAACCTCATTTCTTTCCCCCTCCCCACACCCACTGATTGTCTGGAAGGTTGTCCGATCTAATTAGCATAATTACCTCTTTATTATATCGGATTAGAAGGAAGGTGTTAGTGTGCATCCGATTTTGTCTTGACTCTCCCACCGAGTTGATACTCAATGACGAGTTAGTCAAATGAAAGCAAACTGGGGGTGTTCGTCCAGTGGGGCCGGGATAGAAGCCGGACAAAGGAGAGCCGCAGGGGGTTCGCTGCGGCTGCAATGCCCTTGGACCCAGCAAAGGAACTGGCGTGTTCCTGGGAAGCTACTAAAAAGCTCCTTAACATTTTTAAGCAGCAGCAAGCGTGAAAGGCGCATCTGGGGTGGAAGGAACTGAGGCCGAGGGACTGGCAATGAGCCGGGATGAGAGCCAACAAGTAGGTGAGCGAGAATGGGGTGGTGAGGATGGAGAGAGGGGACGCAGAGATGGAGCTCACACTCTGTAACCGCTCAGGGCCTGGTCACTCACCAAAGGAATGCCCTGGCGCCGGTGTGAGGACCGTGGTGAAGGCAGGCATCGCAGCTTCAGTTGTTGGATGGTGGAGGGCTGGGAGGGGAGAAGGCTGGGGCAGGGCCCTGGACACCAGGTGCTTGACACTCCGGGTGCTGGATGCAGGAGCTGCTCACGAACGAGAAAGGGAAGGAAAGCAAAATCAGTTTTTACCAATTTACAAAATAAATATCTTACCCAACCAGAGGAGAAACAGATGAATGTCACTCGATACAATTTAGAATAAACCCTTAATTAAAATAATTACTTTAAATATTCCGATTCTATAGTAAAGGTAAGAGTCGGGGAAGACAGGACCACTAATAAAACAGTTAACACCGCCGAGACCGGTTTGGCTCAATGGATAGAGCGTCGGCTTGGGGACTGAAGTGTCCCGGGTTTGATTCTGGTCGGGGGCATGTACCTTGGTTGCGGGCATATCCCCAGTAGGGGGTGTGCAAGAGGCAGCTGATCGATGACTCTCTCTCTCATCGATGTTTCTAACTATCTCTCCCTTCCTCTCTGTACAAAATCAATAAAATATATTTTAAAAAAACAAACAAACAAAAAAAACAGTTAACCCCGACCGACAGCCATACGGGTGGAGCGTGGTCCCTGCCCTTGGGCTGCGGGTTCTGGTCCGGACTAGGTTGCAGGTTCGATCCCCGGGCATAACCTAGGTTGCAGGTTCGATCCCCGGGCAGGATGCATATGAGAGACAACCGATCTATGTTTCTCTCTTTCTCTCTGTCCCCCTTTTTTCCTCTCTCTCTTAAAAAAAGTAAGTCAATAAATAAAATGGCTAAATCCTGCTTTTTTAAAAAAGAGCAGCATACGTTTACGCCAAACAGAGCTTGGAGGCGGCTGGCACAGCTGGCACAGCTGGCACGGACGATCGCGTGCAGAATAAATTCTGGGGGGGACCTACCGCCAGGAGTTTGATGCCCAGCGCGCCGGGCAGACGCGGAGGGGCCCCGCGCGTGGACGCGGCTCCCGGGCCGGCGTGGCCTCCGGGGGCCTCCGGGCGGCGCGGCTGCCGGGCGAGGCGTGGGGGCGCCGGCCGGGCGGGGGACACACCCCGCGGAGGCCGAGCTGCGCCCCGGGCCAGCCCGCAGCACCGGGTCTCTCCCTGCGGGGGCACAGCCACTCCCCCCACGACGGGCCCCCAGCCCGACCCCCAGCCCGACCCCCAGCCCGACCCCCAGCCCGACCCCCAGCCCGACCCCCAGCGGCGCCTACCTGCCCACCCGGCTGGGCTCGAGGCCTCCTGCGCCTGCGCAGCCGGAAACCAGCCCGACAGGACGATCGCGAGGCTGCCCCCGGGCGCCCCCTGGTGTCCACCGCCCGCCGGGCACCTGGAGGCCCGACACTGGCTCAAGGCAGATTCCAGACTCGGTGGCCAGGTCAGTCTCCTCCTCTAGCTTCTTCTCCACAAACATAGGAGGACGGATGTGTTGACCTATCACTGTCTTAGACCAGAAGCGCAGCCTGGTGCTGGGAAACGGCAGGCAGAGAGGGACCCGGTTTACAAAGGGTGGCCCTCAGACCAAATGCTGATGCTGCACATCTCCAGGGAAACTATTAGATGTGAACATCCCAGACCTGCAGGGTGGAGTCCACCCATCTGTGCTTAGCCAGGCCTCTGGGCCACGCTGATGCCCTGCAGGTTGAGAATCACTGGTTGGAATGTAAAGTCAGAGCAGAAAAGCTGATCTTCTCTCATTCAGACGCCCCAAAGGAGGAGCCCTGGGATGGGAAACAAGCCTATTAAATAATATATATTTTTAAAGAACATAAAAGAAAATGAGTGAGATATGAGAAACTTTTGAACAGAAAACTAATCAAGATGTAACTGACAAGGCAGGAAATTAAGAAGTGAATAAAGTGAAGTCAGTTTTGCTATAATACAGTAAATATATATATATATTTACTGTATTATAGCAAACATACTATATATATATATATATATATATATATTTCAGTATGTTTGATGTATTGGGTATTTTGATGTATGAATGATCACACACATGTGCACTCCCCTCACATCTGACAGGGTATTCAATCTATCCAGTATGTTTGAGCCACACACATCCACACTTGGCGTCCGTGCTGACAAAAACACTTTGGTGGCTGCCTTGGTCGGCAGAGGCACTTCCCCTGATCAGCCGGGTGGCCTCCCACAGAGGGGAGTGGGCCTCAGTCATCAGTAGGTCATCCCCGGCAGGCTCCCAGGCTATGAGAAGGGACAGGTTGGGCTGAGGGACAGCCCCCAACCCCAGTGCACCAATTTTTGTGCACTGAGCCTCTAGCCTATAATACAAGTATGATATGCTAGACTTGACGTCCTTCTGAATGAAGCTGGGGCTGTGAGGGAAGCCTGGGTCCCTGATGCTTGCCGGCCGCTGGAGGGAAGCTCGGGTTCTGGGTGCCAAAGGGAAGCCGGTGCCAGCAGCCAGGGGGCGGGGGTGGGGGAGGAAGGAAGGCCTACTCTTGCACTGATTTCAGGCATCAGGCCTTTAGTTTAAAACAAAATGCCATATATTTTCTACAGAAAGTATTAAAATATTAAATCTTTCTGAATTCTTGAGATCAGTTTTGTGCTCTTTACAACTTCTTTAGTGGTAGTTTACTGCTTTGAACACTGAAAATTCTGTATTGATAAAGGTGTATGTGTAGCTTAACACTCCAATGTCTTTCTGTATTGCATAGGCTGGAATGCTATGAACTACATTTCTCAGGTACCTTTGCGGTTAAAGAGGTTTTTTTTGTTTTTTTTTTTAATGTCATTTAGGTTCTTTCCTAAATGACATCCTAGATGCACTAAAGTGAGCCTTTACTTTGGAGCTGCATAGCATGGGAAGGGAAGCAGATGTGCTCATGTGAAATGATCCCAGGCACAGGCAAAAAAATCTTAATGGTCCAGTTCTGTAGTGTGGCTTTGGGATGTATTTCTGGGAAGATCAGGCAGTGATTCTGTGAGCTACTTATATACCTTAATAAAACCTTTGGATTTAAACCAGCTTTAGTCAATTTTGTTACATGTAGTCAAGAACTGACCAATTCAAACTTTAATAACAGTTCCTAAAGCATAATCATGTTTCTGGTTTCTACAGTTCTGTGTATTTTCTCCCCCGATTGTTTTAAGCTGGGAAAATGTCCTTATATATAGTTAAATGCTATTTTTAAAAATGAAACTATTTCTGGGAATATATCTTAGAAGTCCTGAAACACTGGCTTGAAAGAATATATACACCCCTAAGAGAGTGGCGCAGATGGAACTCTTGAATATTGCTAATGGGAATATAACATGGTATAGATGCTCTGAAAAAGTTTAGAAGTTTCTTATGGATAAAAAAAAACTGTGGTACACTTACACAATGGAATGCTACTTGGCAATAAAAAGAAACTCTTACCTTTTGCAACAGCATGGATGGACCTGGAGATTATTATGCTGAGAGAAATAAGCCAGTCAGTGAAAGACAAATACCATATGAACTCACTAATATGTGGAATGTAATGAACAAAATAAAGTGATGAATGAAACAGAAACAGAGGCATGGACACATGGAACATTCTGACCACTGTCAGGGGAGGGTGACTGGATGAAAGAAGGTGAAGGGATTAGCTAAAGAATGTATATGCCTAACCCAGAGACACAGACAACAGTGTGGTGATGGCCAGAGGGAGTGGGGAGGGAGCTGCGTGGAGATGGGCGAAGAGGGACAAAACGGGGACATCTGTAATAGCGTCAACAATAAAAATAAAATAAAAAGTCAAACTACTATGGTGTTGTTTTAGGATACATCTATAATTTTATTACAAAACCATTCTTTTGGCATTAGTTGGTTACAGTAATAGCAAGATATTGTGAGTGGCATAGCAGCTCTGAGTAACAATTGCATTTCTTAAGCTACCTCATATCCATTACATATAAGTTATTCATAATCATTTATGCTGCAAATCCCGATGCATATACCATTCAGGGAGGAGTTGATGCTAAGGGATTAAAGTAAATGTTGAAAAGACTACAAAAGGACCTTTATGGGATTTTTTTCCTTCTCCCTCCCCCAATTTACTTTGCTATAAAATAATCGAATTTCTTAGAGCTAGTCTGCATGGCAGCAGCACCCAAGGAACATCGTACTTAGTTCTTGTTAAAAAGCAATACCTGTGCAGGGCATGTTTGACACTACAGGCACAGGGAATGATCGCTCTAGTTTTAAACTCCTGCATTAGAGTCTCTTAAAAAAATAAAAGCAGTCTATCAAGTTCTTCTAGATGGTGTTATTGCTGTACATTTGTTGGTGGGTCACTTTCTGTGCTGTGTTTGCTTTGAAGAGATCTTCCAATATATCTCCAATACTCCTTTCTTATGGTATCCTTTTCTTTAGCTAGGATTTCACATAACTAAAAATGGAAAACAGACAATTAATTAAAGAAAATGCGTAATTAAATCTTCAGGGCAAATGCTTTTGAGCTAATACAGCTTAACTTAATCACATTCAAATGAGATAAACCACCAAAGCAGCATACTATGTTCACTAGTGATGTAGTATTGTTCTAAACAACAGACATAGAACTGCACTGAATTCTGAGTAACTGTGTTGAAAGGAACACGAATATTAGTGGCACTGGGAAGACCCAATTCTGAGATAGCAAAAAGCAAGTGACGAGTCCCAGGAGCTTACCTCTAATGCTTTATTAAGAATGTCCTCCTTGTTGTCACATTGGTTTTCTAGCATATCTTCATAGATATCCACAAGAAAAGCAATTAGGTAGGGGGAACTATGACTTGGTTGCAAATCAAGCAATTGATTTAACAGATTGGGATATTTGGAAAGACCACGATCCTGCAAAATCCTAAAACAGAAATTATTCTAAATTTTGAGAAGAGCAAAAAGAGTAGAAAGATAAAGAGAAAACAGCCCCTGTGACATAAGCAAAAAAAGGAGACATTTTGAATGAAGCTGAAACTAAATGAAATTCACACAAAACTAAAGCAGAAAGTATCAAAATTAAGAAGTGAAGAAAAACACAGGAAAGTTTTAACTTTCCTTTTAGCTCAAACCTTGTAGGTTTAACAAGTAAGACTTGTAACAGATCTCTAGAAGTGAATCAGGGATCTGCAATTGTACAATCTGACTGTAAATAGTTGGCCTTGCCTTACTGTGTTCCTGAGCTGCACATACACTGAGGGTGTGTGTTCCATTTTTTATTTTTTTTTCACTGTTTAAGTCTATAACAGCTTGTCTCATAGAGAAGAGCACAGGAATAGGTTAGACTTTGTTGCTGTATTCCATTCTTTGACATACAGGATTCATAATTTCAGTTATAATTTATTATTGTTCACTCATGGACTACTCTAAAAACTGGGCTGGTATATGTGCTTGGGAGGTGGAGAGAAGGGTAGAGGACACTGTTTTTGGGTATTGCCATAATACACTTCTGCTCTCAGAGAAAAACAGAAAAATTTTAGTATCATTTTGGAATCTGATTATGGAACATAGTCTGTAATGCATCATATTAACAGGTTGTATTTTATAGAAAACGAGCAAAAAACATCCTCTTACCCTTTCAAATAGTTCCATGCACTTTCATTGTGTGGTACTAGCTTGATCATTTCCAGAGTGTACCTATAAGAAAAAGAGCACAAATATGTGTATGATTTTAAGAGCAGTGCGATAATTAGAAACAGTTTTAATAAGATAGTAGCATAGCTTAGATATGTGCTTTCATTTCTCTCTGAGTGGACTTTGTACCCTCTCTAGGTCATATTTAAGTCTCTCCAGGCTCCAACTGTCAATTTTTCTTGACACAGTTCTTCCCTATTGAATATTTGTATCCAATTCTGGAGACGGACACTCAATATGAAGGCTCAATTCATAACACAAAAGAAATTAAAGATTTCCTTTAATTTAGGCTTTCCCTCTGAAGGAAAATGTCAGCTAAAATAAGATTTTTCTTTTATTTGTAAAACAATCTTGGGGGGAAAGTCTAAGATCTATTTATGGCTGTCAAATCCTTAATTGTTGAAAAAGGAGAACTACATAATCTTAGTAAATGCTTGATAAATAGTAACTATTATTAACTGTGCTAGTAGGTTATGTACTCAAATAGAAATATTACCATG